TATCAGTCTAAATTAATTCTGTGCCAAGTTGAAAGGCCTAATTTTAAGCATTAAATTATGAAGTTCCCAACTGTAAACACATTAACTTTAGATCCGAATGCTAGATGCAATTTCTGGATGGGAAATCCTCCATCATGAGCAAATTATTGTGTCTTTTGTCAGTGAAAGTAGATATATAATATTTTATAAAACATTGTGAGATTCATCATGGAAAGTTCCTTTTCTACAAACATCACGAATTAAATTACAGAAAGGTTTATCCCAAAATGTAGAACTTCTATCAATAAAGGCATGTGCCATTTGCAGTTACCGAAAGACATTATCCTTTTCCACTGTTTTATATCTTGTTTTCATTCTCTCTCACATTTCTAGATGATTTCATGATGCAAAGATATATTGCTTTGCTTATATGATACAAAAACACTTTTGCATTATGTATAAGATTGAAGTTAAATTTGAAAATTTCATTTGTGATGCTTTAAAAATGGGAGCCTAATTTCTTTTAAGAGATTCAAAATAGTGTATTTGTCTATTACATTTCAAAACCAAAAAAACACACTAAATAGTTTATTTAAAAGATTAAAATTCCCCCACCTCATTCCCAACGCAAAAACAACTTCTTTTAAACTAATATAGTGCATTCACTGACCTATTTCTCTTATTTGTTTTGATATATTACACAATATGAATCTGATAAATTTTGTGCAAAGAGGAGGATAAACGTTTATCATAAATAACTTCATGCAAAATGTCATTGTTTCTTGAAATCATAAGTACTGAAAAATATTTGCAATCCAAAAGCCAAATTGTCAATATTAATTGTTATAAAAAATATTGAATAATACCCATAATTAATTTTGGATAAAAAAATATATTCATTGTGAAATTGCATAGGTAAAGAAAACAAGCATTTATTTTTATTTATAAATTGTAAAAAGTTAAAATAAAATATTCTTGCATTTACAGTGATTAGGAACTTTCTCAAAGATGCTGAATATTTTCTAACTAATATCTCAAATACCACATTTTGATTTTTCTGTGGAGGAGATACATTTTGTTCAATACTTTTCTCCCAATTCAGATTGAATTTTATAAAATCATATTTCACAGATATATCAAATAAATGTTATGCTTATAAGAGTATTATCCAAGATAGCTTTTCCATTATGATGTTTTAATGGAAATCACTACAATACATTCGGCATACTTTTTCATACTTCTTTTCAGAATTTCAGTTAGAACTTCGTGGGTTTCATGGAAAAGCATTAAAATTTTCTCCTTATGATTTTTCTAACTAACATTAGTTTAAGACTGCTGATATTATGTGTTTTATATATTTTACAGATGAAAAAAAATTATATGCAAATAATATGCAAATTATTCCTTAGAAAATTACAGTGAGTTGCATTTCCCCAACAATATATTTTTGTATTTTTTGTTATAAAAAAGAAAGAGACACAACCATGATTTTGTTTTGTCGTTTATACCTCTATGACCAAACATACATGAAGAATCTGTCACTTTTGCGAATTTAGCAAAACAAGAACCCTCATTAAGAAATGTATAACACAGGGTTTGTGCCACATTCATTAATTTTGATGTTGCTACCCTTCTTGTCTGATTAAATCGAAAACAATTTCAATATTTGCAAAATATAATAGCATTAATTTAAGCACAGTTGAGAACATTTTCTAGATAAAAAAGTCTTGTTTAATCAACACAAATATTCAGATACTTTTTTACATGGGCTTCAAATATTCAAAAGCTTTTTTCCTCAAAACTAACAAAACGCATATTTGAGGTTTTGGTATACAGGGCCCACATATGTAGACACATATGTGCTGTCGTGATGAAAAATACAATATCCAAACAAAAAATTCAATTATGCCCTTAGGATTTTTAATTTTGCCAATCACAAAATTTAATGTTAGTAATTATGCAAATTATGTAAATTAGTAATGTATTTTTAATAAAAAAATATTTTATAATGTGTACCTAAAAAGCTCTCAAAGAAAAAACTAAATAATTGGTATTTCTAATACAATTTGAAAAACAAGGATGTTGTTGAGCAACATTTCGTGTTCATTAAAATTGGAAGAAAATGCATGTTAAGTGGAAAAGTGCTAGTTTCAAGACCAAGGGGGTAGAAAATACTGAGATAAAAGAAGATTTACATACATTGGTAGGATATAAAACTTTCAAGTATCCTGATGACACTTATGAAAATACACTTTTCAGATCAAAGGAATGTACAGTATTCTATTGATATGTGTTTCTCACCAGGAAATATTTTAACATTCTAAAATTCATTAAAAAAGAAAGAGGTTGTCTGTATCTTAAACATACCGATACACATCATGTTATGAACTCATCTGCCTTTAGAAGTTCAAATTTTCTTTTTCAAACATATACTTGCGTTTCACAGAAAGCATTAAAGAATTAGTTGAAGACTTGGCAAGTGTAAGTCTACAAGCAATATTTTCTAATCAAGATTAAATCTAATTTCATGCTTCACTCGTTTTACCATAACTGGGTTAGATAAGAATATATGGTATATTTGAAATGCAGTCATAAGTAACTAACAACTGAAACTGAAATACCATTCATTTTACCTGATTTCACTCCAAAATAATGTGCTAAAATTTAGAAATCCTGAACTGTTCAATGAACTCTGGTTAACATGCTCAAGTTACTGAACACTTTTATAGCTTTCAAAAAAGGTATGGAAACACAATGATTTTCACAACTAAGGTCAAACACACATTTGTTTTAAAAATGTTTGAAATGTTTACCTTTAATCCTTCAAAATATGTATCATTTGAGCAAAACTTCCACTTACAAATAAAACCATGATATGAAGAATTATGATGTTAATAGTAATAGGTGCTTCAAAATGTATATCTCAATAAATAATCATTTATGTAATTCATGAATTAATTTCAATTCCAATGGTTCTAACAAATTCTTAACATTATCCAACAAGGGATTCACGAAGCCACTATTTTTATTCTGAATTGATAGGAGTAATCAACAACAATTTATACATCAGAACTCTTGTAAAAATCTAGTTCAATGCATCAGGAAGCTGCAGAAAGGTGAAAATTACAGACAATCAAATTACTATGTAGACTAACTCATAGTAGGAAAGTTTCTCACCCCTCCTTTCAATTTTGTCAGTAAGTGTATCTTGCAATTTTAGATTCATTTTCTTTCAAAAGCAATTCACACTTATCAATCCTTTCCTTTCTGATACCAGTCATGAGCATCTACTATGCCTGCTACTCATAAAAAGTTAATGTCACTCACCTAAAACTTCTAGTCATTTATAATGAAGTTCTTTGAGTATTTGCCTCATTAAATTTAAAATAAAAGCATGTAAAATTTCTTTTGACATGCATATTTGTTATTTAATAAATGAGACCAAAAACAGGAAAAAGAAATAAAGTAAACTTCTAATAAAAGTGAAGTCTATTCCCTAAGCAATAAAATATTATGTTGAATTATTAATTAAATGAGAAATAACTAGATGATAAGTTATTTAAAAATTATATTTTGGAATTAAAAGGTACATAAATAATTAAAAGATATGAGATACTTTAAAATTTGTATTGGTAATTTTATTTAATATATAGATTGCGGTAGATAAAAAACAGGTTTCAATAAAATATCTTTTAAAAGAGAGATTAAGAAATCATCATTCTTTTAAGGAAGTGAATGAGCTTGGTGAATCATGAACAGGTCTTTTTCTCTGAGATTAATAGGCTTACCTAAGTATATAGAGGAATATCACACCAAAACATCAGAAATTAATATGGCTTATATTATGATTTTGTTATATCAAGTGCAATTTTAAAATTAAAATTCATCATTAATAATCTCAACATGAAGATTAGAATCTTCACTTATAAAATTACTCATGGTCTTATCTGGTTTCTTGATATTGATTGAAATTTTGTTGGTTTAATATATATTCAGAGTTGGGCTTTTTGTTATTGTTTCTTTTTTTTGTTTTATTTTTTGTAATGTTTAGTTTTTGACATTTTTTTAGGTGAAAAGCATTTCCATACAATATTTTCCCATTTGTAGATTTCACTACACATATACGTAATACACATGCATATAAATAGTCTCAAAATTTCATAAGCATAATCGTAATAACCAAGATCATTTTTTGAAGTGTTAAGCAGGTCAGTGAATGGTTTAAAATGTGGTGTAGATGATGATATTTTTTACTCCTAGTTTGAAGAAGTGAGTGAAAAGCATGAAACTGAAATCATTGTTACATTACCACTATCATCTTGATAAAAACCCTGCATGATAATTACACTGCAAACACAAAATACATACTTTACTTTGGTCCCCCTTATTATGATTGTGAAACTTCATTATAACTTCAATGCACACATAAAATATGCATTTATATTTCTCACCTACATGCAGGATTATAACAATTTATTTTTCTTTTAAATGTAAAGAACTTTTAGTTATTAAATTAAAAATATTTTCACAAGTGAATGAAGTGTAAGTGAAAACTTACTGATAATTAGAACCCGGAAGTTTGGCAAAATGCTTTTTTATTATTAAGATTTTATGACTTTCAACAACAGGAATAACTTAATTGTACCTCTGGAGTTGTTTTAATAGATTTTCATTTTGCCATTTATACCTATTTTAGCTTCTGATTCCTATTTTTAATATTGTGCCTTTTTCTTTCATTCTAGTCATTATTTTTCATTTTACTCCTGACACCGATTTCGATCAAGTTGGACACCTGAACAATATGAAGGCATTGTTGGGTTTTGTTGTCCTTTGCAAGTTGAGGCTCCAGGGCCAGATAGTATTAAAAATCTAAATGAGAAAGAGAAAAGATACGAGTAAAGATTTTTGGACTACTTTTACTGATTCCAACAGGCTTTGTTCACTCATGAGTAAACCCATCCTACAGCCTCCAATCCCTCCATTACCAAGTCGTCCAATCATTTTTGAGACCAAAGAAATGTCTTTCTGAAAAGCAATTCAACCCTTTTCAGTGATGGTAATTACACACTGCACACAGTGCACAGAAAGAAAACTATAATCACATTTTAAGTTACGTTAGTCCAAGATTTAAAGGGAATCCACAACATTTCATAGAGCCAGAGACCCAGGTGATACAAATTCTAGTCATCATACCAGGTGGTCATGTGTAATCAATATTACAAAGAAAATGAAAATATAGTTTTCTTCCCTGTATGTGCTGATTATAGAGTTAGAATAAATTTGAATTATTTTTATTATTAATTTTTACATTTCCTTTACCCCTACACCCCTATTTCAACTGGAATAAATGCCTTTTTGCCAGCCTATTTTATGTAACCTGAACTTCCGAGCTCTACTGATAATAAAGAAAATACTTCTTATTAAAATCAAGATATTGAATATGATTTTCAAGCACTGAACTCCATTGAGATGCAAGTTCAATCTCTCATTTTATAATTTTCGTTTATCTAGTTATTTTTTGTTTTGTCTCATTTTTATTTAACTTCCTATTTAAATTTTGGTTGATGATTTACCTCTCACTCCATCTAAAATGACTCAATTGTGAAATCATATCTAATTTTCAGCTGAATATATTATAATGAAGTTCCAACAAATGTACTTTACATTTCATTGGTATCAGGTAAGATATTTTCTGCCATCAACTAATAGACAGCAAAATGTATTTGTTATACATTAATTTCATTGACATATCAAAAATAAAAATAATCCTTTTCCCAAAATTTATTGATGATTTGATATTAAGTAAAAATGTTTATTATTTCTATGAGTCAATCTAGCAGCAACCCCAAGAATTGACTAATTAAAGTGAATGAACACTTACTTGACATGCATTTTGTAAGTAAACACATTGCCTTCTCTCTCTGTACTTTATTTGTTTCTTTAAACAATTCTCCAACAAGATGCAATGTGATTTTCATAAGAGATTATCCATAATCCAGTACTCACTGTAACTTTGTTATTTCAACTCTGAATTATTTCAACAAGGTAGAAACCTTTAGTAGAATATTAATCTAAAACCTAATTAACATAAGTTCTTAAAAATAGTAGCAGTAAAAAGTTCACTAATCTCTGAAGAATAAAGATAAACACTCACTGACCTACTTGCTTATTACTGATTCTTAACATCTATGTACCATAGATAAACATTCAGAGACAGTCTGGTGACATTAAGAATAACTTTTCAACAAGATTTCAGAGTACTAACACATTTGGAAGGGTTTCTACCCAAATATGAATTTACTTTACAAAGTAAATGAAACTTTTATGAATCTACAATGCAATTTATTATTTTGGAAGATTTTGTACAGAAAAAAAATAGATCCACAGACATTTTCGTGCAGCAAACATTCTATTCAATTCTCAGTGACTTTCATAGAAGAATTCCTTTTATCAATATTGAAAGAATATAGCAGGCTCCCATATATTTGTTTGTCACATTGATGATATATTGTATCTATAAAATTAACATATTGAATCTGCACATAAATAAATTTACACCCATAACATCCTTACTTGAAGTCATAAATGGGTTCCTAATGTGTCATAATGATGTATGCAAGTCAAGTTTTTATTATAAAAATATATTAAGCTTGGCACAATGAACTGAACATCTAAATTTTTAGTTCTTGGAATACAGTATTACTTTTTTTGTGAATAAAATCAATTAAGTTGGTTTACTTCCTAACAGAGGGAAGATACGTACTACAAATATGAAATGAAATAAAAAATTCAAAAAGAAAGAAAAACGCACAGAAAGTTAACATAATACTATTTAAATGAAAAATACATTTGTGCAGGGCTGCTTAGCCTCTGGAAGTCATTTCTTTTGGCATATAAAACTTTATTAAGCATTCTCACCTCAAGATAAAACACATTGGAGATGTGAAAGCTATGTGTTGTGTAAGAAATAATTTTAAACTTAAAATTCGGAATACTAAACATTCAGGATTTTCACCGTTCAACATTCATTAGTAACATACTTCAAAAATATATTGGAAGAAATTCTTTCAAATAAATTAGAGCATCTAAAGGAAAATAAACCTGAGCTCTCCAATTATTGCAGGAAATTCATACAAACTTGCACAGCTGATAGTATTATTGGAGTATCAGCTGCCGCAGTACATTGGGCATTAAATTGTAACAACACATTGTGCAATTGGGCGGTCCAAAGTGCTTACCTCTTTACAGTGGATCAGACATGTGGAAAATTTTGACTCACAGAAAATGTCATTAAGTCTCTTTGTCATAAGGTAAATAAAGAGTTTTTCATAAAATTCAATCTTTCCCTGTCACCTTTCTGCACCTGTTTCATCCTGCAAATCAAATACTTTGCCTGTGTTTTCTAGACATCCATACACAGAGCCACCAGAGGGTTTTTCAAACCCAGGTCCATGCATTTGTAATGTTGTGATGTGTGTCTGACCGCAAAGAGCAAGAACCACAGATCGTCCACCACTAGTAACTTCGCATGAAGTCACTGGTCTATCAGGTGTGTAAACTGCCAGCAGTTCACCTGGAAATAAAAAAGATGCACTAAAAACCACCACAAATTCCAAATCAAGATAAACCTTTCATAGGATACAAAAGTAGCGTATCCTGGGGTAGGAGGGAGAGTGGATTTCAACTCCTTTTCTCCCTTGAAGCCAATGAAACATATTAATACATTTAGTTTTGACTTTTGCTATACTAACAAAAGTAATTTATCATCTCAATAAATAACTATAATTAACAAATAAAAATCAGTGTAAATGAAGTTTTCTTGTAAATTTACACCAGTGGCAAGGCATTGCAGGTTTGCATGGTCAGCACTATCTTTTTGGAGTGACATCATAGTGTTGGTAAGGCTGTACAAATAATAAATGAGTACTGTTCCTGGCTATTGAAATAAATGCAGATTTGTACCACAGGTGCTTCATCTGAACTGGACTTTTTCAAATTCTAACTGAGTTGTTAGTAGGGCAGAAATTACAATATTTCAATATTACGTAGTAATTATTTTGAATAATGGAGAAAGTATGTGTTGTGTGTAGCACCACTTGTTTAAAATCTCAGTGATTCAAAAATATCTGAATCCGAGGTAGAAAACAAATTCTTGAAATATTCTTCATATCACAATCAAAAGCAAAAATTTTCAGTCAGAAGCTTATTTTCAAATGTAAGTGAAGCACATATTTTCTGTTCCAGCTAAACTACAATATGTTCATTTACCCTCTCAGTACATTACAACCAAAAAAAATAAAAATCCTAGCAAACCCAGTAAAAGCAGTCAATCAAGATGCAAACAAAACTCTCAAAACTGCATATTACAACATAATGTATCAATTCTACAAAAACAGCAATGACTGGAGTGCTTATCGCCCTGCAAAGCAATACAATATGAAGTGGCCAGATTAGTCACCATGAGCAACAGCAATCTCTCAATTCAATACTGGTGAATCTTTTATGTGCTTCTCAATTCATGGCTATTTCCCCATTGTTTTTTACTATTACCATTAAAATATTCTGTAGATTTTTCCTAATATTCAATTCTTCTCTAAAATATTCAAAATGCATAATTTCTTTAATTTTGTTTGGTCATCAGTGCGTCTATTGGTGACCAAATGCCATGCCACTGATCTACACCCCCCAAAACATAAAACTACTCTGGTTGCACCTCAGTATCATTAATTCTGTGTTAAAATAAACCTTTATTATACTTCTTCATTCTCATACCTTTATGTAGATTCCACAAACGAAGCGAACGATCTCTACAATTTGAATCAGCAGAAAGAAATGAGCCCCCTTGAGGATCTAGTCGAAGAAAATTAACAGGGGCAGTATGACCACAGAGACTCCATCTACAATTACCTTTAAAATATCAAAATGTATCAATTTCAATTTTTAAAAGTAGCAATCAAAGTACTGATCAAGTAAGCATCTTCAGACATTTCATAAAGAAACAAAAAGAATTGATTAACATGATTATTAGGAAAAAAAAAGCAAAATACTTCATAACTAACCACTGTTAAATAATAATCGTTGGCAAAGACCTAATTTAATCTGGGTAGTTGACAGAGTATCATGAACTTACTACTATATCAGTCTTTTGGAACACATAATATATCACTCACTATTCTTGAACATTAAAACATTTTTTTCAAAGATTTCATCAATTTCAAAACCATTTAGAATTACCTATCATTTTTCTTTTCAAAGGTACATCAAGCATTTACTTTCCTTTCTTAAAGATTAACTAAACAAAATTAACATGCTAAATGGAAGCACTGAAGAACCGAACTTACCTGTAACTAGATCCCAAACTAAAATACGAGCATCTTCTAATCCACTTAATACGCAACCGTCACGTGACGATATATCTAATGAAACAGTATTCACTCCTGGTTTCCATTTTTTAAACAATGTTCCACTTTGTAAATCATAAACCACAATAAAATTTGGACTTGGCTCATCTACTTCCTGCAATTGATTTTGCAAAATTGTTTAAAGTAAAACTAACATTCAAAGCAATTTCATTAGCTACATTTTTTATACTCACCTTTGCAACACAACATACATAATGACCCTCATGAGTAATGGCAGCAAGGCTTGTAACAAAATCATGATGAGGGATGCGCAAATCATACAATAATTTTCGGGATGCCAAATTCCACACAAGTAAAGGGAAAGGTTTCTGTGTTTCGTCTCCACATACCAAAACTCTTTAAAGAACAAGGGTATTAATATTTAATTCCGCATATTAAAAATAACAGTAAAAAATCAGGAATAATGATTTACCTGCCATCTCCAGATACTAACAGAGAATTTAAAAACCGATCTTCACCTGCTTTAAATGTAGTAACACAGTCTCCACTCTCCAAGTTCATTAAATTTACATACATTCTGTTGCGTGACAAAGCAACTAAATGTTCATTATCATGCAGACCATAGTAGGGCATCTTTTGATTCATGACACCCTTTAATCTAGTCACAAACTGTCCAGTATTTAAATCATAAATTCGAAGTTCTCTACGGCATAATACAACACAACGATGATCATTAATAGCTTTCAAATTAATGGGATGTGTTACACCTTTTAGAGTTCTGACAGGTATAGCTTTGTGAACATTCCACACTGATATTTCTTCCTTTTCTGTTGAAACTGTCACAACAAAATCAGGATTTTCACCTAAACGAGTCATAAAATCAAAACGTGATTGATCAAACTCTCCGCCTTCTGCCTCTAGAACTGTTTTGGAATGAGGTTCTGATTCATGTACTTCATTTGAACTGTCCAGCAATGGTAGTGGAAGCAGGGACAGAACTGGAGGACTTGAGCAAATTTCTTTTAATTTTGACATAAAACTATAGCCTTCTGATGATTTAGAAGATAAAAAGCGATACATCTGTGAGTAGAATTGCCGACCATCATAATTCAAAGCTGTTGCACATTCTTCTAGGCTTTTTCGTAGCAAATGAAGATCTTTGTTATCTTCTTTGTTCTCTAAAGAAATATCTTCCAAAACCTGAATATGTCAATTATCTGGGATTAATAAAGTTAAAAACTAGAGTAAGAAAAAGAAAATACATTTTTTTTTACCTGGTGCACTCCTGAACAGCACAATTTTTCATATAACCATGTATGATTAAATAAGTAATCTTCTTTTATTGATCCTTTTAATTTAAATACTTGGTATGGTAGTTCATCATATTTTCGCTGGTCAAAACTGTAAATAATAATAAAGATGATGATGATTGTAATAATAATTAGAAAATTATAACAACAACAACAACAATAATAATAATAATAATAATAATAATAATAATAATAATTTATTGCTAATAGACTTGCAATATTGAAGTGTATCTAGCAATTACAATAATTTTTAATTTTTTAAACCACATTAACTTTCAGTAACAATTTAATAAGTTTAAATTAACTTCATAAATTAAATAAATTACATTGATAAACCAGAGACAGGAAAGAATTAGAAATGATAAACCTGAAATGCTACTAGGAGAATAACTTACCACCTATTTACAACTGCAGGCTTAGCAATAAGTCTTCCTTCTAAACCAACTTTGTCATTCATCCAAGTACCCTGTATAAAGAAACAATTACATTAGTTCGTAAAACTAATTCGTTCGTACTCCAGTAAAAAAACACACGTCTTCACTGAAAATTTAATTTTACCTTAAAATAGCTTATTAAAGTTTGACATGCCCATTGTACTTGCGCTGAGCTACCTAAGTATCGTTTTTTGATAGCTGCAAAAACAGTTTCATCTCTCCATTGAAATGTACTGATATCTGAAGATACAGTCCACTGAAGAAAAGGAGCCAAATATTTGTTGAGTCTTGCCCAGAACAAGCAAGCTGGGGCCCATGATACTGGAAAATAATACAATCACTTTTCTCATGCCACAAATCTTTTGTTTCCAAGAATCATGCAATAATACCAATTCTTATTGTCATATAATTTCATTGAATCCATTTAAATATCAAATATCATACAAAATTAGTATATTAAGATCATTATGTTACATGAAAATGTTCTTATTACATCCAATACACATAAATAAACTCAATTAACGTAAAAGATGTCATGATGAAATTCCATCATAAGTAACTTTTCTTATCAATAGTACAAATATTTATGGTATTATTTGAGAGAGAATGATGTGAAACATTTATCAACCATCCTAAATTCTCAAATGATGTAAAATTTGACATCTAAAATTTTAAGTTAGTGAAAAATATTGTAAAATGAAGTAAAATTTCAGCATCATTGGTTTATCATAAAGCTATTACTTTTATTCTTTGTTTTATTTATTCTTATTAAATGTGGATACAAGTATAACACACAGGTAAGCAAGAATTCCAAACAAATTGAAAACATATCATCATCCGTTTTGGAAAACATCTTGTGTGGAAACCAAATTCAAACATTTTTGTAATGATATGAATGTATAATTTTTTAGGAGTTATGTATAACTCATGAAAAAGAACATTTGAGAGAAGAATCAGCATGGATCGCCGATATGGACTAGGGATTGTTAGGGGGGGGGGGGGAGAACTGGGTTGAGATCGTTCGATATCCACGTGACATAGTTAAAACCAAAATAGTCAGCACTTCGGAGAAGATTATGTAAAACCCTAATAGTGAAATAGGTGTGAAACTTTGGGCAAGGAGATTCCCAAGTAGAAACAAAGAAAGCAAAATTGCCAATTGATCTCTGATGAATGAATTCATGAACAATATACTTGTTTGTGTTTAGAACTTGAAGATAAATGGCATTTTACACAGGATAATACGTGTAAGAGAGAGGCCAATCGTCAGCGACAGCTGATTTAGTTATTGGTGTTACGGTCGCTGGCGCTTCATGTGAATATGCTGTTGCGAGAACGTATACTTTTAATAAGTTTCAGAAGATCCGTAATATTTTTAATAAACAGTCCCTTTTCCACTTATTACTTTTTCTCCATCACAAAAAGTTGTGTAATGCGCGAAAAACGGGGATTTGTTTTGGCATATAAACTCTTATTACAGGGCCCTGGGTGGATAAATCCAGTTGGGAAATCCTCGAACACTCGGTGTACCCAGAATCGATGTTCTGTGGTTCCTTGATACCGAAAAGTCAAATGTCGGCAAAACGTCTGTCTGTCCGTCCGTCCGTCCGTGAAAATCGGCTAGCGGCTAAACAGTTCAGGCGATTTTCTCCGAAACTGTTACAGTAAAATATGTCTACATCGGAACCTGTACAAGCAGAAAACCTGCCTAAACCGGAAAATGTTACTGGCCTGTGAAGATAAATGGCATTTTACACAAGATAATACGGAACCTCTCCAACGCGGAAACGGGATGGTTTTTCATGTCCTGCTGGAAGAACATTCTTTATAAAACGGAATTCCTGTGAATTGCAATAGGCAGAGAGGCGCGAGATGTTCGCAATGAATGAATGCATCTGCAATCATGTTTAAATTCTCTATCCTCGTGACACGCAATTTATTCGTGTCAGTCAGATATTGAAGGAGAGGAACTTCTGCTGTCAGCGTAGAAATCGACCTTGGCGTCTCTTGTATCTCAAGGCGTAGGCCGTCGGGAAATTCCGACTCTGGCGTGGTAAAGTGTACGGCCATGGTTTCTGTTCACGTGTCTCTCTGCCCCGCGTTGAAAATCATGCTAACCCCTCGAACTGATACGCATTGCTCAAGGCCGGCAAGGGAATACGGTCACTTTCAACAGGACTCCGCAACTGCACACACTGCTTCTGTTTTCGTAAGGGTAAGTATGACGTTTATGGAGACAGAATTATCACACGTGATTTGTGGCCTGCATGCTCTTCTGATCTGACTCCGTGCGATTTCTTTCTTGGGGAATTTCTGAATGTTCGTATATTTGCGACAAATCCTTACACGGAAGAAGAAGAATTAAGGCACAATATACAGGGACAGATCTCTGCAATACCGTCCTTTACCGAGTAAACCAGAACATATTTGGTGGCACTGTGTATGTGCACGTTTTCCTGAGTTATTTGGGGAATGTAGATATAATAATCATTTTCCAATTCTCGCTGCAGAAATTCAATATTGTCAGGTAGACAACACTGAGAACAGTAGCTAAAACCACTGCTGGACAGCACAGACTTGTACCATGATAAGGTGTTAAGTCTTTATCTCTGTAAATTTATTCCTATAGTCTTAAAGTTAACTATTCATTTATATTTTATGTTCCTATTTAAAATGTTATTTTTAATGTCTTGTATTGCGGGATTGAAATTTAAAAAATGTCAAAAATCTGGTTTCTCGAATATTAAATTTATTCAGTCTCCAGTTCTCTTTCCTCAGCCCCTCCACTTCCCATTCAAGAATTTTGAGCCTCCCTCCAAATTGCCTCTGTAGCCGCCGCTGGGTCTCTCCCATTATTTTCAACATGCAATTTTCGAAAATTCAGAGAGTTTGATGAAAATAATATCTGCTTCATTTGTTTAAGAGTGTATCCGTGGGAAAAAATAAGAAACATTTTATTTCTATGTGCAAATGTTTTTATTTAGAAATTGCATTAACTTCAAGCAGAAATTACGCAAACAATATTAGTTTTTCAAACGCATATTTTATGACCTATTTTAAATATCTAACTTTTCACTGGCTCGCTACTCATTACGCATTATAGGGTTAGTATTGTAATGCTGCGGGGAAAAACTCTTCTTGCCGGATCCTGGTAACGAAGAAGTGGATAAATCTTGTCACTATGCATAGAAAAATTACTTTCTCTAACAGTCTGTGCTGTCTGAATCTACATTTTATGGCTCCTTGATACCGAAAAGTTGACAACAAAACGTTTGTCTTTCTGTCTGTCCGTCCGTCTGTGGTCAAAGCTACCGCTTAACCGTTCTGCCAATTTTCTCCAAAACTGATAATCCCAATCGGAACTCCTTGAATTTGAAACTGGTATTTTAATTTTAGGGGTACTCTACATGGTGACTCGATGACTCGTTTAGCGTGCTCGCGTTCCTCGACGCAACCCTGGTTTCGATTCCCGTTTGGGGCAAAATAATGACTGTGCGCTTTTCTTACAAATATCACAGCATCTATTGCTGTGTAACGATGAGAAAGCCCACCCTAAGGTTAGGCAGACCATAATATACGGTGGAGGAAAGTCTTCGTGCTAATCACGCGAACCCCTCACCCCATGGCTGAGAGGCTGGATCACCGCTGGTTGGCCAAGGCCCGTAGCGATATGTCGAGCTGTCAACTTTACATGAAGCCTCTGGGATACTTTCAAAAAAAAGGTTTCCAAGTTTTTTCTTTACTTTTATTGTAGGGTAGAGTAAAGGACGCTTAAGAGAATGATGAAGGTATTTTTTTAATCACAAATTTTTGGAAAATACCGAAAGTTTAATTTTTTCGGTCTTCCTACAGTCTCTCCCAACCAGGCATCTGCACCAGCGGGACACCACCACAGCCGGGACAAGTTCTAAGGTCCGACTGGTCTCCCAACACGTGTGGTAGTGTAAGTCCTATGTGTAAGTAAGGGGTGAGGATAGGGCAAAGAAGAGGAAGGAAAAGTTGCGCGCGGTTCGTGCCCCCGCCCCCGCCGAGCGATGCACCGACCCAGCCAAGACAAGTTCTTAGCTCCCAAAATGTATGATAGTGTAGTGCATATGAGTTTCAGTGGAGTGGGGATGTAAAGGGTGAGGTTAGGACAAGAAAGAGGAAGGAAAGATTGCGGGCGGTCCGTGTCCCATTTGTTAAGGTACTGTTCCGGTATTCGCCTGGTGTTGGTCGGTGAAAACTACAAATCAGAGTAGTCGGGCGCTAGATTCTCCTCGACAGAGACTGAATTCAATTTAGCTGACAAGCTAGTGTCGAAAATCTTGCCACCGTCGGGACTGGAACCTAGGATCTCCCTGTCAGAGGCATTGCAGTAACATCAGTTGATCCACCTCTCCCGGTCTGACCACTTCACGCAAGATTCACTCTCTTTATAGAACAAAGGTAAATGACATAGTTCTTCAGAGACTTCATCCCTGATCATTCTATTTGACCAAAAAAACTGAAGCATTAGACTACTTTATGAGCACACAGCAAGCAAAAAAACTTGGAATCATCCTGATACTGTAAAAACAAATGAAAATACTATTACGAAAGTACATTGCTACCATGCAAAATTATGATATATATCTTATACACAAAAAAAGATATTATACCATATGTTGCTTGACTATGGAAGACAGGGTCTTGAGCCAACAGGTCTAATGTTTCTGAATCTGTCAGACCATTCTTGGACACTGTAGCCAATGCTAGAGCATGTTCAATCTGAAAAACATCAAACAATTCCTCAGATGAATTTTGGTTTTTCATATTTTTAATTGATGACTAAACAAACACAAAATTTCTAAAAAACAAAAAATTACAGACCAACTGCTCAAATGCTCACAAGCATTTTGAGCCAAATCTATGTAGAATATGTTTGTGACCAAGAAGAACTAAGATATACCATTTTTCAGACCACATCTTCTCCTGCCCTTCAATTTATTTAAAAAATGTGTGAGTTTTTACATTTCATTTTTTTCTGTACATATGGTATTTTCTTTAACATCACAAGTGAGTAGGAATGGATTTTTATATTCTCAGAAATAAAAACAAAAATAATATTGTTTTTGATCCAAAAATTTAATTTATTAACTGTTTAAACACAAAAAAAATTAAAATAATTATACCTCAGAAACTTTCAGAAGTGCTACTGCAGTAAAAATATATTTTGTTAATGCATATTTTGATAATGAAAGTGAGAGACAAACAAAAAATACAAGCAGCATATGAGATTTCTGAGACACTTTGTAGGAGTTATGATGATGATAATGATGATGATGATATATTTGTTTAAGATTTTGTTTAAGTTTTAAACTGTAAATTTTAACCAACAATAGCTTTGATTTTCAACCAGATCTATGTACTTCAAATTGTTCTGAATCGATGATCAACTGATTTGTTACGGATCTATTTCCAACAAAATTTATTGTAAATGTCAACAGAACACATGATATTACATTGAGATATACAAGATATCTCAAGGAATATTTGATATAAAATGGTCTAGAAAACTTCTCATTATTGACATTAAATCCAGAATCAAAAATAGGTCAGGATATTATATTTATCAACATAGTATGGCAGTTATTTTCAGCATTATTCAAAATAAAATAAAGCTATCAATATGTGAATTTCAGGGAAGATCAAGGCTGAAATGCACAGAATATATCAAATATTGAGCCCCAGGATTAATAAGAAAAAGTTCTTGCGAGGGAAAACTACATAGCAGCAAATAAAATTTTATTATTTCTTCGACAGTAATATTTCCAGAAAGGGTACAACAACCAATTGAGTCACATTTTGTTACCTTGAATGGGACAAGAAAAGAGAAAAAGCATGCTAAAATGTTCAATGATAAAATTAGTAACCAAACATTGAGAACACAGGAATTGGAAAGGTTTCATGTTAGATTTTGGCAACTTGAAGAAGAGAATGATATCAAACTTCAGGAAAAACGAATGTGAGAACGGTTTCAGATTTCATAAGAGATATATGTCAGAACTATATAAGAATTATTGATTGATGGATGTCAGAACAATTTCGGGTTTCGTGAAAGAATACTAGACTTCATGTTTAAAAATGGCAATCTTGTCTAGAACATACAATGAAGTAAAAGCTTAACTTTATGACTTATGTATTAAGAGATGGACGTATTTGAAATGTAATGTTGTGTTATGTAGTTTGGGAATAGGATGTTCATAAGTGACTTTACTGACTGATTTGTAAATAGTTTTTTCAGTAGTTATGGTTTATTTAAATTAAGTTAGTTCAATTTAAGAGTTAAAGTTTTTAAAGTGCCATAACCTTCTCATTTAAATACTAGAAGTCATAATTTAAGAAGTAATATGTGTGTAGGGTGGCTGCATAGAATCCGATCAGGAGTGACATAAAGAAAAGAAGATTCTTCGGAGAACTTTGAAGATTCTTTCATACCAGGGCTACAGATCATGAAAGCAACATATATATCAAGTTGTTGTAATGTAAGATTCATGATAAGAGTCAAATTTTTGGATAAAAAACCATTTGAAAATTAACATCGCAAACATTTAGAAAGACAAGCCTAGTTTATTAAGTTTTTTTTTGAGTAAATGCATGCAAAATAACTCAATGATCTCCTTTAAAAAATTAAGCTTAAAAATAAAATCCAAGTTATATTAGTAATTTAATTCAAAATTATTATGTGGAAGAATTGGTTTGAAAGTCCTTTTTTAGGCAGACATTTGTTTAAATAATAATTTTTTATTTAAAAATCATACAATCTTTAGACATACGTTTCAAAGGTCATTGACCTTCATCTTCAGGGTCTAATAAATATAAGTGAATGAATATTAATGAAACAATTTTACAAGTTATAAATGACAAATTGTTAAATGAATCTACAGCATACCTTTTCCAATTTGTTTTTTTTTTTGTTCATCATAATTATATTATGATATAATTTTAATTTAAAGGTTGTAACAAAAAATCAGATGAGAAAAAAAATGAAAATTATAATTTCATTACATCTGATTTTTAGTTACAACCCTTAAATTAAAATTATATCATAAAATAATTATCATAAAAAACAAATTGAAAAAGGTGTGTCGTAGATTCATTTACACAATTTGTTAGCTTGTAAACTGTTTCATTAATATTGTATTTAATATTAAATATTATTGTAAATTCAGTATGCAGGACAATGAGGATTCAGAAAGATAATATTCACTATTCAAAGGAGTAATTATCATAAATGTCTTATGAAATATTAAACTGAAATAAACTTCATTTAACTAAAATTACTTTTTTTGAAAGAAAGAAAAAAATCCATTATTTTGAAATGGAGTTGGAACATCTATTCTAACAGAGAACCTTAAAGCTTCCGACAAAAATTAATCATTTAAATACCCATATAAACAGATAAAAAGTATTTTCAAAAACAAGCTCATAATTCTTTCCGGTATTAGAAAATTTACTTTCAATGTATGAATTTGTCACAATATAATAAGCATCTAAAATTAGTAGATAATCAGAATAATTTTATACTCACCATTTCTTTTCCTAAAATAGATTCTAATTCATTTAGCATAATACTCAATTGATCTCTAACATTGCCTTTGGGCACAATATCATGTTCTGCATCAGTCCACCAAGATGTTTGCCACGCTAACACCTGTTTCAATGGTCAAATATTAATTTATTTTCTTTCATAAAATAAAATATAGACAATTTTTTCCCTGATAACTACCTTAACGTATAAAGGAAGCGTACAATCCTGTACAGATGATTTCACACAACCTTGGACTCTGCTGTCAACACTATGATTATATTGCATTACAGAAGACATTAAAATGGATTGAGCTTCAGGTTTTCCAAGTGCAGGCATCTGTAGACATATGAAATTTAAAATAATAATTTACCAAAGGCAATGAATTAGATTATGCATTTTCAGTATTTGAGTTCTGAAACAATACACTGACATGATAACTGTACAAAAAGTTTCAAGAAAAAGATTGGAGTAGTTTGTGAGAAAATGTTTTCGAGTATTTCTGAAAATGTTTAAGTTATACCTCGTTTTCACAGATAATTTTTGAGATTTCGAGAAATTTCATTTGAAATTATTTGAATCACTTGTACTCACAAATGAAATTTAATATATAAAAATCAAAGTATGTTCGAATTTTATGCGCTGCCGTACCGTTCATCCGATTGCGATAAAAACTTGAGATAAACCTTTGTCAATTTTGGCTTGCATTTGTGCAAAGAATGTAAGCACGGTGGGATGGAATGTTCGTATGTCTGTCGCACATATATCCACAATGGAGGCGTTGATTTATGAGTTTACGCTGAATCAGTTGCCCCTTAACAGAAGCTTACGCAACCCGCCGCACCCTCAAGTATTAAGCGCGTCTTCGCTGCATATTCTACCCCTGCGACTGTGAAATATCGCCCGAAAATATTTCTTGAGCGTTTTCTCGGACAAGTAAATTAAATTTCTCACGAATGTCTTAGCGAATGCTCAGTGAGCAGAAGGATGCGATCAGAGTTTTGCGGATTAAACAAGGTAGGCGAATTAAGATATCTAATCGACATCGTTCTATATGTTTATACATTCCATATTACGATGTACATACCTACTGTACCGTCTTTGAGAATTGCTAAATTTGTGATGATTACTCTGTCGATAATAAAGAAAATAATACAAAAAATACATTGACACATGAACAATAAACCTAATTGTTTAATTAGATGTCGATTTGCGGTCTTTTTCTACTCGAGAATTAAATAGAGCTTTTGAAGCCCTCCGAAAGACATTGGGAGTTTTCACTCACCGTTTTCTGCCTCGTGTGACTAATCTTCTTCTACAATGCGTGTGCTTGCGATGTCACAACTTTTCACGCGAAAATTATTGGCATTTAATTATCGCGTTAGTTTCAAAACTATGTTTTTGTGTGTTTGGGAAGACACGTTATTCTATATAATGCAGTTTCAAAAACCAACTCATCACTTTCGCAACAACTCACAGTACACGTGAAAAACTATCAGCCGCCTGCGGTGGGTCAGTACTGACAACCCACCTCTCCTAAATCAAGTACTGGATCAGGTTAGCTAGCAAGCATGGGTACGTATGCGTACTCAAATGCGTATAAGTAGTGTGGTCAAGATGTCCTCGACAACCCGCTAGGTCGCCAGTCCCCAGCCCCCAGTCGTTTGCACGTGACCACCGGGGTTCCCAGTCCTATTCAAAGAAGAGAGGTTCTCAATGAAAGAGATGGCGAAGCTTTGGGAGGCCAATGAGAAGACCGGGATACGACAGTCAGCGTCACATCATCGTCGGCCGAAGGCTCGCATCTTTCACACTGCACATGGCGAGATTTCAATGACATCGGTAACGATGCGAAGCCGTCGAAGCGACGTTTCTCGGCCTGTCACATCCACCGTTATAGACGTCTACCGGAAAGTATATGTGGAAAAAACAATAGGTACAAACGGAACAAGGAGATATACTTGAGGAGTAGTAAAACGTTTTGAAGAAAAGTTTTAAAATGGCCGAAAAACTTGGGGATGCGACACATCACTCGCATCATTGAGTCGACGCCGCGGAATGCATGCCAAACTTCAGGGAGAACGCTTTAACAATAGGACACTTGACAACCATGTCCAAACCAGGACACAGAAGAAACTCATACTCGCGAGAAAGTTTTTCATCTACTAAAATTTTGACAGAGCGTAGCGTAAAACGTTATTAGCAACGTGAGCACTAGCGTGTGAAGTGAAATACATTGTAATTGTATTTCGTATGTATGTATGTTGTGAAGTATAGTTGGGTTCATTAAAAAGTATAAAAATCGCTGGTAGTGAAAATAATGTGTGTGAAATTATATATATATATATATATATATATATATATATATATATATATATATATAGTTTATATTTTTTAAAAATTAAAAGTATACATCATTATGGCGGTTGGATCATGTTATACAATGCATTTAGCATAATCCAAAGAAAAAAATTAAGGGAAAAATTTGGAACCGTTTTTTGAGAAAATCTTGTCCATATGTTACTCTCAATTAAACTGTAAAAAAATGTTCATATTTCACTCAAAACTGCACTACAGCGAGTGGCGGCTCGTGTCGGTTGTGGCACGTTTGCGCTACAACCGAAAAATGTGGTCATTATACAATTATTTAGGTATTATACATAATAAGGACATTTGTGTCATTCATTATTACTCTTATGTCACAATCGCATCACAATATTCTTGCATTAAGTGCAAATTAGATACAAGAAATTAAACCACGTTTACTGCAAGGCTGTGTTTACACTGCACGACTACGCCTTTGACTTCAACATTGCAATATAGGCGAAGATAAACCAGTAACTGTCAGAGACCATGAGATAGGCCTTCGCGGGGGGCATGTCTCAAGACTGTTAGTCAACCTTAACCGCAGAGTTGCTGCGATAAAGTTCTGAACGCGCTCGACAGATAGCGAGTAAGTAGTTCCTACACCTCGTCAGGTGTCTCTGAATATTTCCCACAGATTACAAACTGTGACATATTCGATGAGAATCGAATTTAATTTTCTCGTAAGTTTCCACAAATCGAATTTATACATTATATTTGTAATTTTGCACAAAGGAATATGCAAAAGCATGTAATCGAAGTGCTTCACCATGAATGGATCCTGTATTTGTTGTTCGTGGAAATTGGCAGTACTATATCTCTTATTGTGGTCGACGAGACGGCGACGGTCGACGACGACGTAGATTCTATATTCGTCGGGTACGGTAATCACATATGTGTAATAAATTGGCAGATAATAGAGTATCAGCTCTTGCCATGCTTTTCATTGAGTGTGACTACTTTACCCAAGCAGACTTTAATGAAAGAGTTATCATCAAATTTACTACGAGCACGGAAAGGCGTGCCGAGTTCTTTTACAAATAAGTAAGTACACATGTTCTTTATTTTCAAGTTTAAATAATAATAACTGATGTTGTGGAAATGAAACTGTCTCGGAGAAAAATGTGAAATTTTAAGTACAGTATATTTTTGAAACGTACATATATATTCATTGTATACCAGTCTCAGCATCCGAATCCCCCCCCCCCCTTCCGTTAATGCCATTATTCTATAAATCACCAACTTTTCAGGGTACGAGCCTTCTTGAATTAAGCTTTTGATATTTTTAAACCAATGTTCATGGCAAAAAATGTTTAAAAGTAGAAAATAAATTTGATTTGAAAAAAAATATCTATTTTCAATAATGTGCAAGATTTGAGATGCACCAAAATTATTCACGGCGGAAGAGCTGCAATTGTTCGTCGGCCAAGCTTTATACTTGAATGCTTTCACACCAGAACTGGCAAGGAGAAGTCGTCCACTTTGAGATATGGTACTGAGAGACCCGTTCATCTGGACGACAGAAGCAACAGAAAGGTATAACGATATCAAAAATATTTTTTAATTTCTCCATAAGCCCTGCCATTCATCTGTCATACATATGCAGGATGCCGTAGACGCATTACTGTCTCAACGATTGGGCAATGACCTGGAATGACCGATTACCTGGCGCAAGCCAGATCCTCAACTCCATTGAGCAACGGTACCCGCAAATGAACAAGGAGGATTTGCATTCTTTTGGACAGTTCACAAATTATTTACTTGCGTATATCATCGTTTTATCCTTATTATCTACCACAAACGTCTCTCACAATTACTTTATCATAGGTAATACCACGAGTGGTTTGGAAATTGTCGAAAAGTCCCCGACTCGCGAAGCAAGCAGAGGATTTATCAGAGAATTTCCAAAAACTCAACCAGATCAGAAGATGAGTTTGGTCCATTCACTATGAATCAAATTAGGCAGTTACCTGTCCGCGAAAAGGATATATATCAATAAACACAAACACGGAAGGGCGCTCATTTGGAAAAAATCGTGCAACTTTTCTAAATTGGTAAGAATCGTCATCGCTACTACGTACTACAAGGTCCACGAAAATAATTATTACACCCATGTCTACTAATCGAGCACCAAATATCATTCCATCGATTCTTCTTCAATCTATCTTAAAACGATTAACATTCGGCCCTTTTAGGAATTATGAAGATGAAAGGAATGGCTCGTTCGTTTGTTTTCTGACCAAGAATCGATACAGACATCAAAAACGTCTCCAAATATGGAGTGCGCTAGCGTCTAACCGCCTTACGTTTGGGGTTATATATGCCACTCCGTTCGCGTGTATCCCTTAAACATGTTAAAAATACTCTACTTCTGTTATGCTGGCTTAATTAATGCACACTTCACTTTTACAATCCATCGCGTGAGTACTACGTAATATATACGTAGTTTATAATAATAACGCTTTAGTCGACTCCGGCTAAAGTGAACTCGGACATAGTGAACTTACGTAAGTCACTGATCCCGTTTCACTTTCATTACAAAAAAGCATTAGAAAATTCGGTTACAGTGAACCTGAACCTCGGCTTTAGTGAACATAGGAAATACAAACTCCTGGATATTAATTCCCTCCTGGAAAATAATATATCGCATCAGTGCCACAAATTCCAACAGTAGGTAGCTTAAAAAAAAATATCGTCGGACAAAGTGTGCGATCACGCTACGAAATGCATCTCGAATATTATTAGGCGAGTAAAGGGGCCTTCGAAAAAAGGGACGGTGATCCAACTGTGCAAAAGGCATTGCAGGGTGTTAAGACGGTGTAACGATACATTTCGACACAGTGAACAATGCAGAATCAAGAATGGAGACAGCATGAAATCTGGAGAAGCATATACAGAAACAACTAGTGAAAAAATGCGAAGATAACAATTGAAAATAATTGTGTTTTTAAGGGCAAATAGAGATATTGAAATTCTCAGTTCATGCTGTTGAACGTATTTTGCTGTACCTATCACTATATTAATAAAATCAATTGTTATTTATAAATTCGATGTATTTTGCTGTATCTTTATATTAATAAAATCAAACATTGAGAAATTCTATGTAATTTTGACATCATTGAATATAGTGAACCTTTGATATAGTAAACAAAAAAGGTTAATCCCCAGAAGTTCACTATAACAGGAGTCAACTGTATATCTGAGATTAGTCAAAATGGTAACTAGTCTCAGTAAATAAATAAGCAAACAATATCCTCTTATAATACTTAATATAATTAATCAAGTACAAACAAAACCATGGGAGACCACTTAATTATGTCCCAAACCTCACGTGACTCACAATTTGCAAGATGAGCATGGTGAAATTAGTACTAATAACAAAATAATTTCATAAATATTTAATTTTACCTTAATAAGACAATTTGTATTCCCAAGTCTCTTTGTAAGCTCAACATACATTGAACTATCTTCAGAGACAGACAAAATAAATTTCACATTTTCAGGTAGTGTTAAAGGAAGCCATTCCAAATTTTGAGTGCCATATTCTCTCACCTACAAAACAAACATACAGTATCTATCAACTTTTTAGATTAAAATCTGCTGTGGCGATAACATAACCAGAAATAAACGAAATTGAAATGGCATATTAAATTATTACACCACTCTTAAACATGTTGATTGCTTATCAGGGATGAGTACTTACTTGATCAATACCATCAATTATAATAATTATAGGGTGTTGCAAACCAGCAGCAGCTAATAACTGGGGTAGGTATTCCTTGTATTTCATCACATTCTGCAAATAAAATGCTAGCTAAAAATGTTTCAAAATAACACTTGTAGCATGAAGATGAAGTGTTCATTACTTACATGTGTTCCCCAATATTGATGTCCATAAGTTACAACAGATATCTGATCTATCAGAATTCTCACAAGCTGTTCCACAGTTCGACTTTCATTTGACAAACCCACAAATCGAATAATCAGTACAGAGTCAGGTATCCATGAATGGCAACATTGTGCAGCCCTTGCTACCAGAGTACTTTTTCCACAGCCCCGAGGTCCATGTAATAATAGAAGACTTTTACTTTCCCCTGTGATATATTTCTTTATTTCTTGCAAAATGCCATCACGATTGACACTACACTGAGATGCCTTCTGACAAAAAGTTGTATGCTGCATTAGCTCTTGCAAAAGGCGTCTTTCAATCCCATAACAAGACCTTAGAACAACCTAAAATACAAATCACAAAGCAATGTGTGTGAATTAAGCAGAAAGGTTATCTACAAACCAATTAAGAAAAACAATTGTTTTACAAACCTTTGCTTGATCTTCATCAATAATTGTATCAATTACAACTCGTAAATGCTTTGAAAGATGTGCAGTTACTTCAGATATATACTGCGCATGTTCAGGTATCTCCAAATTAAGGCCACCTTCTGCCCAACGAACTGGCAAGCGTAGTATATGCTTCTCTGACAGAAGATTCTGCAGAAAATAAAAAAAAAAATAGCACAATTTTTTTGCTCAGGGTAGAGATACTCAAACAATTGATAGGTGATCAAATTTATAATAAACAATGATCGTAGGCATGCACAGCCTCTAACAAGAGGGGGACAACTACATTTCTGGGGTCCCTTCTTCCTTTGAACTTTTTCAATTATGTATGACTTATTTGAACTTTTACGATACAATTAATTCATTCAACTGACTTCAAGTCAAACCATTTGCATTGTTGCCAGATGTCTCAAGGAGCCTCTGTTCCAGCTGCAAAACAATTTCCCAAATTGCCAAGTTAAAAAGGGGAAAAATCAGGAGTTAACCGAGTATACATAGAAAAGAAAAAAATTTATTATGAGAGGCTATGAGGCACCTTCCAAAATTCTCAAGGGTCTCTTGGGCCTCTTGTGTGTGCATGCCTATAATGATAATACCAAAATAACTACCTTAAGATCTTTATGCAATGTTTCAAGTCTGCGTGCTAATTCAACATCTCCTGGGGTGGCAGACTCTTGAGATGGCATTGTGTGAGTATACAGTCTGTAGAGCCAAATGCATCGTCTAGCTAATTCTTGACTCATACAAACTGTATTGTGTACTTCCTAAACATACAGAATTTATGTCACAATGGCAGTCCTTAGCGACAGAATATAGCAAAGGCTATTAGTTAATTGATAACCTGTTCAACAACAGTTGTAAGGTAAGTATCTCGCAATTCCTGAGGGAAGACATTCACCATCACAGCCAATGTGCGTTCTATTTCTGCCCGCCATTCAGCAAGGGCTCGTTCCTTTTCTTCCGTTGAATTTTCCTACAAAGGCACAACACAAAAAACAAACAAGAAATAGATATTCTAAAAACATTTTCCCTTTTTCTTTCAGTTAGTCTCAAATCTTCTTTCATGGTGCACTACCTTTTTAAATTTCACACTATTACTAAAATGCACCCACACATTGAAGTGAGAAAATGAAACCTTTTTTTTTTCTACATATAGATATTTCAAATTCTACATTGCCTACAATAATTAATTTCACTCCTAGAAAATTTGTTATATAAATAATGAAGTTTGACATATTGCACCCCTGATGCAAAAGGGCCTCATCTTTAAAAAATTGATAATTGAGATACATGCATTGTTAAATTCCTCGTTTTTCATTACGTGATAAGCAACAATACCATTTCTTTATTTTCATAAATAGCCAAGTAATAGCAATTCAATGTAAATTAAATTCCTATGCGCTCAAGAAAATGTCCAAATGCTTTCCGATGAAATGAGTGAGTTGCATTAGGGGTGTGATATAACCACAAACTTTTACAGATTTTTTCTCTGTGTGATAAAATGAGGGCAAAAATACTGTAATTTGAACAATCCTTAAATAATCTTCAAAAAATAAGCTAAAATATGTAATTCCATATTTTTAATATCTTATTGTCAAATATAGAGAGTATTTTAAGGATATTAAAATTGCTTATCTGCTCCAGTACATTGGGTATGGAATACAGGGTTGAGGGCAATGTCAGGATCTCCTTTAAAATGAGAGAGAATATAGTAAGTCTCAAGATCTAGAAGTTTTTGAAGCGATTTGATCATAATTCTTTAAAAAAGAACAAAACAACAGATGTTTATTCAAAATTTGATAATAACATAGAAACTGTTTTACAGACATGTGGGGGAAATGATTGAATGTATAAACCACATCTTCGTGATAAAGTGAGAATGCTCAACAGAATCAATTGTTTTATTGAATAAGTCAATATTGAAAATATGATTGTCACCCCAGTAATACCATATGAAGTGAATGAGTGTGTTTTTGGGTGTGTGCTAAAAAGTTTTGCAACTGAATAAAGCTTAAAAGCTACTGTAATATGAAATATATAATTAAGGAATTATACAATTGCATATTTACCCGAAGTCCTGGAATATGAATGCCTGTAGGCTGGAGACGATAACATGGTGGCTGAGCATGACTATCAAGATGGTACCATTTCTGTAGTAGTTCCTTATTATCAGCCTTCTTCAAAGCCATTTCAAAATCTTGGGTTTCAATGGTGTTAGGTAAGAGTGGTGTTCCCAAAGAATTGTTAAGAAATAGAACAGGAATGATATAGGCAACCTGCATTTGGCCTGTGCACAGAAATTTAATCTATATTTTCATTTCTAACTTCATAATTGGAATGTGTTTTAATATTATGTCGTGCTTACGTGTCAACTCTCCTAAGCATAATTCTGGAAATTCATGATCTTGTTGCTTTTCTAATCCTGTTTTCCAATGTAAATCAACAATATGCAGTTCATAACCTTGATTCCTACAATGTGACCTAAGTTCGGGATACACTACATTATGCAGGACTCCCTTTTCTACACAGCAATCTAGAACATTGAAGATTTCATAGATGAAATTAAGTTTAATTTCTTACTTTAACTCTTGTTAATCTGCATATAAATTTACCTTGAGAATCAGCAGCACATACATAAATTACTATTTTTCGAGTCTTAATAGTTGGTCTGACAGCAGCAGTACGACCCAGAATCAAGTTTTGACAATTTTCAGGTAGGTGTTGAATTTCAACTGGCAATTGCACATCACTATTTAATTTGTCAAATTCACGAGGGCTTTGAGCAGTAGTTCCAGGTGGGGATGACAATGACATTGAATCTGCAGCTAAAAAATAATTCATTTTTTTTTTATATTATTGACATGGATAACTGTAAATAAAATAATTAAAAAGTTGAAGTGATAGGAGACACAAATAAGGGCAAGTGGACAAATCTAATGGTGATTCAACAAAGCTCTAGCAAACTCTCTAGCATGTGACACAGACACATAAAAACAGATTTCTTATAATTAAAGTCTTCAACCAGCTGTCCCAAATTCAGGTGCTGAGCCAGAGACAAATTTTGGGAGGAGAAATTCAAAATGTTGTGGTGAAATGTGTCATATTTCAGGGTTTGTAACATGTCGCAGGCTACACTCAACTCTTACTGCAATACTATTTTACTCATTTGAATGATTATCCGAAAACATTTTTGCTTGAAAGTTTGAAGTTATTGCAATGCAGTTTTCACAGAAGTAGACGAAGGAATGGGGCTAATTGATATGTGTAGTTGTTTTTATATTATCACTAGTATTTTATGAGATTTTTTTGGTAACTTTGTTTTTTTCAAATGAAATTACACATTTTTTCAGTCCGCCAGACAAGGTCATGCAGTGTTCCACCCTCAGAGAAGGGAAGGGATCTTAGTATTTGAAGAAACGAAACATATTCCAAATACTCACAAAACTGTTGCAGTTTTTATCTAAACTCTGCTTTTCATCCTTCCGCATTTACCAGGGTCGACCCCCCCCCCCGCTCCCTGCTAACTAAGCCACGGCTCACCATCAAAGAACTTAATCCTGATGAAGAACAGCATACAATGTAAAATATTCTAGCATGTTTTAAGACTCACTTCATTTTCAATATGGTACGTTTTACTGTATATTGAAATAAGTCGTACCTACGTAAGCAGCAACCTCGCTCCACAAACCCTAATTCGTCATTCACTGGCCCGCCGAACGATCAGCCTGAACGAATGTGCCAAAAGGTGAGTAAATCTCGTACACGCCTCTACGTCTATAGGCTTTCATAACGACAGCCGGCCCCCAAAGAAAATGTCTGTCCATCTGTCCTCTGGCAGATAATAAGGGCCCCTTCACACTGCGCCACTCAACAGCGCTTCCGAGCGGCGCAAATCTGACAAAGTATTGCTTTAAATGGAGGTTCACACGAGTGGCGGTGTCGCGTTTCTGTACCGCTCCGGCCAGCAGCAGCACAAAAGCGCATACGCGCCACCGCTAGAAGAGCACGGATCTAAATGCCAGCGTTCACACGGTGCGCTACTGAACCGGCCTTCGCCTCCTGCCGCCTGAGTGCGCCGTCTCTTGTCTTTGTTGTGCACCTGAGCCCACAGCGGTGCCACTCGCGAAACCTTCCCCTCCCGCGGCGGCGGTGGCTGTGTCTGTTGGACTGCCGCTTCGCGGTGGCGAGTGGGTCGGTGGGCAGGCACCCTGATAGACAGGCACGACGGTCCAACTCCCTTGAGGAGCTATGGAAAGAACAATGGCTGCATGCGCGCATCTAACCTTTCATAACCCTCGTCAAAGTGACCGCCACTGCCCCAGACCATCACTAAGGATGGCATAACGAAACATCGCCAAGTGCAAGGTGGCCAGCTCCCCTAACTCCTTCGTTCCCCATTAGTAAATCATTCGTCACACATTACAGTCCGCGCTCCCGGTACTCTATACAAGTCTCCTTCAAAACAATTGAAAAGAGCAGATTCAAACTAATAGCGTAATCCCGTAACGGGGTCAACCGAGGGAGAACACTCAGTCAACAGCCGTCTAATAGATCACAGAATTACCTAGAATATTAACAAATTAGAAGAATAGAACTCTTAGAAAATTAACAAATAGCCAAGCAGTTCAGTAATCACGTGAGGAGGGAACCGGTACAGGAAAGGAGAGGGGACTTCCATGAAGGAGCTTCGGACGCGACGATGTCAAATCACTTGAGAGAAAATCTTCCAATCTTCCAACATTTTTACTTCAGTAAAAATTATTGAACTATTACGTTAAAGTCTTCGAACTGCCTATATTGAAAACTCTCATAAGAGTAACTGCTGTCGAAATTATCAAAAGCTATGATCAAATATTTAATGCAAAAACAGGCGGCTCTAGTCGCGAAAACCCAAGTCGGAAGCGTGAGACGGACGTATTGTGGGCATGCGCGGCGCCAGTATTTGCATCAACGATTAAACCGCGTAAACGGGACTTTGCCAAGCCCACTTCCCGGACGAGCCTGATGATTGCAGCCGATTGATTGGAGAACGCGAGGCAGTCTAAGACGGTCAGCGGCGTTACCACAGGGGCAGCTTACCTCCATCGCTGTGTCATGATATCAGGTCGCCCGCGGAGCAGGCATTCGCCAGACAGCCCGCGCCCTCGTGTCGGTGTGCAATTGCCGAAGGTACGGGACCATCAGTCCAGGAAAATAAACCTGACCAATTATCACTTGCCCCTGTCTACTATTTGTGAATTCATTGGAAAGAAAGATTTGAGAGAAACGTTAAGTCACCGATTTAGCTATTAATGTTAGAGCTAACACCAAGTGAGGTGGCTCAGGTCATCAACTGATGTTACTGCAGTGCCTCTGACCGGTAGGTCCTAGGTTCGAGTCCCAACGGTGTCAGGATTTTCGACACTAACTACAGAACTAGGTCGTACTCAGTCGCTGTCTGGAGGAAAATTCTCTTAGAAGGCTACTGTGACGTAGTGAAATAAGAAATAAATTTCAATAACAAAAGAAAAATAATATATTCAAAGATTATGTACAAGTTACAATGAATTGCTAATATTAAAATACTCCGGCAACCTTTTCCTTTCTGAACACTGCTTTACCGCAGAAAACACAAGCCACGCGTGATGCGCGGTGTCGGACCCCCGTCCCGTGACAATTACCATCACATGGCCTGACGCCAAAATTTAACCCGGTCGTGGCGTCCGTGTGCCTACAGCACGCGAGATTGTCTGGCCCTTACTCTCCGGACATCTCGCCCACACTCCTACACCCCTTGTACACACGTACAAGCTTCCCGATGCAAACTGAATGAGAGCGCGGGCGCAGATGGCGCCGCGTTAAATAGTTGAGGCTGACACCCCCACCACTGTTCCATAGGTAGGCTCGCCGGCTGGCGCGAGACTCGCAGGTTTGGTTAACGCCCACACACAGGATTCTCAGGTTGGCTGCATGCTTCCGTAAACGAGGCTCGCCGGCAGCATCCTCGGAGTTTACAGCCTCCGGTATTTTTGGCTCTGCGGCACTACCTGAGTCAACCGCCCGAGCGCAAACTCCCGGATGTTCAGGCTCAACCCCTTCCTCCCCCGCAGCGTACTTTCACCGACCTAACGGTTCTGGCCCTCGTGTTAACGACGCCACACTACTCTGATCGTTCGTTTTCCATGGTTTCTCCGATGCCGGAACAGTACTTTAACACAATGCCCAAGGATCGCGCGCGATCTTTCCTTCTTCGTCCTTGTTCTATCCTCACCCCGCCGATGGTAAGTCGTGCCCATAATTACTAATCAATCAAATAAAATAGCTATTTATGTTCATGTTCACTAGTTTTAAATTAAATGAACCAGAACCCGTCACTTTGACGAACTTATTTTCAAAGGATGTTGGGCTTTGCTTCACTACATAGAATTATTATGATCTTGCATCACCAACCAAGAGCGGCCCCGATATCTCTTCTAGCCAGCAACCTTCCAGTTCAGGACACCATTGCACATAGCGCTCAAATCCCATGGATGAAGGGCCTGAGACACCTTCCAACGTGTTAACGAGCACGTTCCATTACAATTCTTCGTATCAAGTAGTAACATGAATATCTACATAATGTTTAAATGTCAAATATTCCTGTGTCACTCATCGAATGTGTACAATGTATGTATCTGGTTGTATGGTAGTTTCAACATGCCTAAATTATTTTGCTGCTCTTCTATTTATTGTGCAATTAATACCTGCAAATTTCGCGGAGCTCTCGCTGCTTAACCGTTAATTAGAACGAAAATGCGTAATGACATTAAATGTTGGTATTTTTTTCTTCCTTTCTTTCATTGTTTTGCGCAAAGTATAGTACAGTCAATAGATCTGCTCCTTTCCAAGCTAGTTGCAACGTTGAGATTTTATGTTTAACACCTAACATCTTTAATCGTGAATGAAGGAGAAAATAATAACAACATATCAATATTATATGCTTGTTCAAGAACGGACAGACTTATTAACAAAGGAAGTTTTTTCATGCCAATACAATTCAAAGGTGTTTATTAGATCACATAACTACAAACTTATAATAATATCAAGTAAATACCTGATATAGTTGATGAAGTAACACCTCTAAAAACTTTCGTCATTCCATCTTTGGTTGGTTTCCTCTCAAGGGCAACAGCGGATGGTGTGGCTGGGGGTTGAGTGGAATCACCTCCACCCACTGCTAAAGAATCCACTACATTAATCATCACGCTAATTTTATATCTCATAATAAATTATATTAAAACAAAACCGTACAAAATTATTAAATCATCATTGCTTTCAAGTTTTTAAATTCATTTATTTTCAATGAATACAATGATGCTTAAGTAAATGGTGATAAGAAAGGTAACTGACATCACATTCAATGGGCAAATGCAGAGGCAAGGCATGGCATTTTTTCGTAGACATCGCACGACATTGGCCTTCTTCAGAGCTGTAGTGATGTCGAGAAGCTAGCGTGTCTCATTAATATAGGAGAGGGTGCATGGGGCGATTGGTCGCATCGGCGACCAATAGGAGAAGGGCAGGTGGCCCGCGATTGGCTGAGAGGGATAAGAGCGATACCGGAAGATCAAATAAAGTGTGGGGAAGGAGGCGGGGAGGAATAGGAAGAGGATAGAAAACTGAACAGGTTGGACATCCACAAGATGAATCTGCGTGGTCGGGGACCGAAGGAATGGCAAAAGAAACGGACTGTTATCTGGCAATACTGTACTAAGTTATAACTGCAGCCATAGCTGACAAAATGTTCAGACACCAAGAGAGGAACCATCTATATCCAGTTGGGCATAAAGGATGACGTAAAGGATCTTATGGCTGCAAGAAAATCCTGCTACTAAATAAAGTCATCCTGAATGATGTAAAGAAACAAAAGCGTAATTTAAGCATTGTTTGGATTGACTACCAAAAGGCCTTTGACAGTGCGATTGGATTTTGAAGACCCTGGAGCTCTATCGATTTCATCCTAGACATAATGAGTTTTGCAAGGCTAGTATGAAGGCGTGGAGAAGTAGGTTACTACTATACAACGGAAAGAAACCAGCAGAAACAAGGAGTATTCACATTAAGTTTGTTTTTTTAAGTGGATTTGCTATCTCCTCTGCTGGTTTGCTTTGGTTGGATCCAACTATCTAGACAGTTGCCCCAAGCTGACTTTGGTTACAAGCTCCACTGTGATGAGGGACCAGTATCACTTTTGGTTTACATGGATGACCTTAAAGTGTTTGCTAAATATTAAATAATTCTCTTCCAAATGCTGTCATGTCATGAATGACTTAAGCAATGAAATCTGCATGAAGTTTGATCTTGACATGTGTACAAAAATCAATCAAGAGAGGCAAATTGACAACGTCAGAGAGCATTGAAGTTGATACGCACACTGTGATCCAAGATCTTGAGCCAGGTAAAACATACAAATAACTGGACATTTAAGAATGTGAGAACATCTCGATCGACACAATAAAAGACAATTCGTCCCGAAGTCCGCTCTGAACTCCAGGAATAAAATATCGACAATTGGTAGTTTGGCGGTGCCTGTAGTCGAGTAGTTTCGGACTCGTGGACTGGACTGAGCAAAAAATTCGAATCATGGATCGAAAAAACAGAAAACTGTTAACAATGCATCATATCGTCCGCCCTCGAGCTGATGTACATAGACTTAGGTGTCACGTAAGGAAAGAAGAAAAGGCCTCAGGCAAATTGAAGCGTCCTGGCACAATGTCGAGATGGAAAAGTATGTAGTAAGTCATCATGACGGCCCACTACTCAGGGTGGTCTTTAATCTTACCGAAGAATACGGAACAGGAGCACTGTCAATGTAGCAAGAAGCACTGCAAAGAAAACTATGCAAGACACGCAGAATAATACAGACACTGAACTTTTGATTTTACTAAACACGAAATGTGAGTCACAATATTAAAGAAATCGAAGAGAGACAAAACACTACATGGACAATATCTAAAAAGAATGGACAAGCTGTAGATCAATCATTTATGATTCTTAAAAGGGGAAGAATGAAACCAGAGATGGAAGCAGTTCTAATAGCTGTTCAGAATCAGTTGAGAATACGACATTATGATAAAGGGTTTCTAAAATTACCCAAGATGATAAATGTCACATCTGCCAGGAACAAGAGGTAGAAACTATTGATCATACCGTATCAGCCTGCCCAATTCTAGCAAAGGCATACTTGAAAAGCCACAATAGGTTGAATAGTTATAATATTTATATTAATATTTTAATATTTATTTATTGAGTCACATATACAATTACAATCGTGTATGACGTGTCAATACGATGCCTTGGGTGGAGGGAGCGAAGTTACATTACTGATCAGGAGCAAACAAGGGGTCATCTCAGCATTTGCTCAAAGTACCAGGGAAACAGAACAAAACCGGATCGAGATGGGGTCATTGGCCTAGAAATACAATACTTGTTACAGTTAGATTAGAGTGGTTACCTCCGCTGGCAGCTCCGTACTGCCCTCGAAGTTCCAAAGACATGCTCCAAGTGTACAAACACTCACCAAAACCGGTGACATCTGTTGGACTCTATACAATATTGTATGACGAACAAATTGAAACAGATCACACGATAGCAGCAAACAAACCGGATTTTGCTATCCAGGATTTGGAGAAAAAACTGTGACTACTTGTAGATGTTGCTGTGCCTTGCAATCAAAACATCATAACCAAGGATATAGAGAAACATAGAAAAAATGAAAAAAATATAAGTGAGAATAACTCTTCTGATACTATTAGTTAATGACTATTACACACACATTCACTATTATATATATCAGGTACAAAAATATTAAAGTAACCTTTAATTCTCCCATCATCTCATCAATGCAGATCAGATCAATAACTTCAGCATTTTTTAAAATCAATAACTGAAATCAAAAATATGTTTTTGTTTTAATTTTCAGATTTGCAAATTTAGTTTATCAACCAAAGCTTTTATCTCTGAATAATTTTTAAAAATGCTGATGGTTGTGTTGAAACACTCCTGTAAATTTGCTAAAAATCTTTAAACTGGCATATTACAAACTTAAGTACAGTTTTAATTAGTTTTTTTTTTTTTTTTTTAATGATGTAATGTTTCCAAAATAATCCTATTTTGGCTTGCTGGATCTTGTTTATTCAAACATAATGAATAATATTCTTCTGAAGTCTTTCTTGTTATTCTTAAATTCGATTTAAATGTTTTCTGAGGGCCATGATAGGCCATGGTCCATGTCTCAGTAACGTAACATTCAGGCCCGCAAGGCCCAGAAAAAGAGGACAAATTTTTAGGCTGAAGGTTTTGTGGTTGTAAGAAATATTAATTATTTGATACGTGGCAATAGTTGATACAATAAAGTATTAAAAACAGCGTCTTCCAGAAGAACAAATAGCTTATGTAACCCTGTTTCTGAATCAATAAAGGTAAGCAATTCATTTTGGTTTTATAACGGTCTTAATTTCATAAAATTAAATAATAAAGGCTTACTTTTTCACAATTGGTTATAATTTATTATTGTTAACAATAAACACGACACACAAACTGTCTTTTGATTGTTGTTGTTTGGGTTTGAAGCTTGCAATCTTATTTGATAATGTTCAGACAGTATTAAGACTGTGCTTACTATACATTTTTATAACATGGGCCTCAATAAATGTTTTGCAGGCAGGCCTGCACTCATTTCATTATGCTTCTGCAACTCCTGGATATTTTATTCTAAAATTTGGTCAGCAGATCCTTGAATAGTTAACCACCTAGATTCACATTGTCTTAAAAAAAGTATTCTGCCAAAGATTATTCTCATCAATACCATGTAAGGTTTCTCTCTTTGCTAAACTATTTAAAACCTTTTAAAAAAGACTTATGTATTGCATGTCAAATTAATGAGTTTCTCTTTTCTTACCTATGATACATCCCCATTAATTACAAACAATATATTTATAATTGTTCTATCTTAACCTATCATGAGCAACTTTGAAAATGGAAGCTTATACCAGTTGTGTGGATGAATGTTTCTTCTAAGTCTTCTGGCATAGCTTCACTCACACAGAAATTCAAACATAATGACAAATTATTGTATTGGTATGCTTGGACCAATAATGTGCTATTTGTTGCAATTCCTTCTTATTTGCAGACTATTGGTAGTTCCATCAAACAGAAGAGTATAGTATTCTCCATTCATATCATCAAATAGTTTCTTGAATGTAGGGAGCTATAGCTTAATTGAGTAATTATGTTGTTTTCAAGCATGCTAAAGGAAAGTCCTATGCCACTGACACGTTAGAAACCATTGGAAAGAGTTCAGAAAGTGTCACTAATGCTAGGAACAAAACTAAAGCAATATGGAATTTCATAAAAAATATGACCACATCATCTCGATACTGTGTAGCACATGTTTTACCTTAAGCATAGATCTCAAAGAGAAAAAATACTTTACTGGCACGAAAAAACATTATTTACAAATCTTTCCAATTCTTTACCAATTGAGAATAGGGCCCTGCAACATTTGATCTTAGGTCTTATCCTCTTTCTGTTATACGGAAACGCTGTACCCTTGTCTATTAAAAAAGGAAGAACAGTTGCTTGCCATTGACAGGAATGTTCTTCGCTAAAAGGAAATTTCAAATTCGTTTTGTAATAGAAAATTGATAGTTGACGAAGGAAAAATGGTTTCAACGCATTTTTGCATTTCATTGCTCCATTGAAAATTTACAATATGCAATTAGCTGCTGTTAAGGTAACAAAATCTCTAAGTCTCTCAATGCAATGTTCATATAACAGACATAAAATAATTACAGTCAGTACACAAATTTAAGTTGAAAGTAAAATATTTTCTGCTGGATAACTGTTACTATACAATCAGAGACTATATTGATAAAAAAAACACACCAACAAAAAGGTTTATTTTAACAAAACAAAGATATATAATGAATTATTTACATTTGTATTGTATACATTTTACAGAAGACATAATATGCCTGTTACAAATAATGTATTATAGCTTCCAGGTCAATGACCCCAATCTTGATCAGGTTTCTGTCGTTTGCCTGATCCATTGAGCAAATACTGAGATGACCCCTTGTTTTACTTCTGGATGTAAATGTAGCTTCACTATGCACACGTGTTGTTGAACTCTCTTTGCTTGTAGTGGTAGTAGAGCTGAGAGTGAGTTACTATTTTGTTAGCAATGCAGAAAAATCAAATCTGCAGTTAGTTTACTGTTGCAAATAAGTTTCCGATAACTTGGGAATGTCTCGTTTTTCAAATTTTCTAATCTCATGTTTTTTTTATTTATTTATTTTCCTTGTTTTTTTAAAAACTTTTATTCATCTTTCATATAAGTTTAGTTAAAATGTTGGGGAAGGGATTCTAGAACTCAAGAAAACATGTGCAGGTGATCTTCTCCCCTATATGCCATATACAGTTTTTGTTTCTTGACTAAATAAATCAAATGAAAACAATTTCATCAATAAAAATACTAATGGAAAATGTTTCATTTCTTTTCACATATCCTAACTCAATACAATTCAGATCTGGAAGCATTTGTTTTAGGGTTGTATAAAGTTATAATTTGATGTGCAGATGTGCATTTTCAGTTAGTATATTCAGACCCAATCAAGTTGATTTTAACCTTATCTTACAATTAATGTAAATTTATATTTTTAGCAGATTATTTCATTGTAAAATGCTGTTTTTCTCACTAAACTTTTCATCACAGAAAATTCAAAAAGATTCAATATCAAGCAGGGGCGGATCCAGCCAATCATTTGGAGGGGGCCTTCATAGATTTTTGTTAAATACTAAACATTTATTACATTGAATATTATTTTTGTAGTTTATACATGATTCTTTACAATATTATTTTATTCTATGCAATATAATTTTTTAAATAATTATAGAAATTAACATAAATATTGAAATAAATTTTGCCAAATAAAAGAATATAACAAACAAAAAGGAGCCATGCCCTCTTCCCCCTGGATCCACCACTGGTATCAAGATTCTTTCTTTGTTTAAACATGAACAAATCTTGCATTACAATCTTCTTTTTTCTAACCACTTTTCATTAAAAGTACTCATCCCCATTTTGAATCTGAAATATCACTGAATTCTTTAACTTGTTAACTGATCATTCATTCAATCAATCAATTAATTATTTCATTTTTAAAAATTACTTGAAACATAAGAAACAGAAACATGATAAAAGTTTAAATGTCAAATGATAAGGAATCTAAGACAATCTAAATGAAATCTTGTCATCAATATTATCTTTAACAATATTGTACAAATATTATTTCAGTATGATAGTTTCTTTCTAATATATTCTTAACAAATGCTATATTTCCATGAATTGTGCCTATAAAAGTATCTAAATGTTAGATCCCATTCAACAATGACATTTGCAGTAATAACACAGGAGTATCACCTGCAGTTCTCTTTTACTATATTTCAGCAGCACATATGAGCATGCAGGAGTAAGGCAATTTTCCATGACAGAGATATCACTACATATCTCAGATGCTGCATTGCTGCAAGGAATTTATTAACTATGGAGCAAATAAAGGGATTTGGGGGGCTTTTGTTGAAAAGAGGAACTACTACATAAATAGAGTCCAACTGGCAGCCCTGCTAATGTGTAGAAAAATTTTAAAACTTATTTACCTTCTGAACTACTTGTCATCCCTCGCTGTACAGTAGCAGCTACTGTAGATGCTTCTAAAATGACCCCTGATGATACTTGCGGAACACTGTTGTTTCCTTGTTTTTTGGTTGTGACTTGATAACTGGGAGATCTATTAATATTTATTAAAAATTGCAATTAGAGGTAAATATTAACATTAACAAAGGGAGGACACATTAGCAACAATTCCTTAAAGTGATTCATTTAATTTTTTAATGAAAATTCAACTCAATAAATAATGCAATATTTATTTCACTCATGTTTTATTAAATTTAAGGGGAAAAGTATTAAAGAATTTCAGATTGTACTATAATGTACCCTCAACCAAGGGCTTCTTTGAAAAGCTAGTGTACCCAGTGGAGCTTTGCTCAGTCTTAATTTAACTGAATTCATTTCATGATTCATTCATTAACTGAATTAATTTTGTGATATCAAAAATAAAATTTCCAACATCTGCCATTTTGTATGAAACATTGCACTTAACAATTAACATACATTAAAAATTATGTTTCTTGTGAGCACTGTAGTTCTTATAGCTTTCTACAGAGTATTATTTACTTAAAATAACATCAATAATATAGCTATCTATTGGGGCTGTCTTACATAGAAAAGACACAGTTAAACCTTGGGCCACTTAATTACCTTGTGCCTCGGGGGACCCGTTAACTTAAAAAATTAAGAATAATGAACATTTTTTTAGGTTCATAATTTAAATTATGTTTCTATATTTTTAATTTTTAGAAATATTGAATGTTTCAGTAGTAATGAAATGAATAGACCTTTTCAAGAAAATGAATAGCACAGACTCATCATAGCTGATGAACATCCAGGCATGTTACAGTCATAAACCTCTGAAAATAGGACAACCTATCTGTTGTTGACCCTTTCATCATTGAATAACATAAGTTAATACACTACTTCATTGCCAGTCAGTTGAGGAACATCAGGGGTGAATCCAACCGATCATTTGAGAGGAGCCATCATAGATTAATGTAAATAATAAATAAATTTGTCATTATATTCTATATTATTTTTGTAGTGTATATATGATGTTTTACAATATTATTTTTTAAATAGCTACATAATTCTAACATAAATATTTAAATCAATTTTGTCAAATAAAGGGAGGTAACAAATGTTGTTGTTGTTGTTGGGTTTTTTTTCCCCCTCCTTAGGTGGAAAGGGCATGGCCCCCATGTCCCTCCCCTGGATCGACCACTGAGGAATGTAAAGAATAGCTTGATAACAAAAGAGAGGAAAATTGGCCTAAAATCAGGAAAGTCAAGGAATGATCAGACACAGCAGGGAATGAAATTGAAGCCCATATGTCTAGAAAAACAAAATTATAATTAAATGTAAATCAGAATCATGGGAGAAATTCAAAAATTCTCCTCCTAAAGATGAAGAAAAGGATGTTAAAGGAAATTACTCAAAACTGACTCAAGTTCTTTTTCCAAAAATTATATTTTATAGTAATTATATACATGCCTTCCTTATTTACCATTCACAAATACCCAATATTGTTTCTTAATTCTATCTCCATAATAAGGTTGGGGCCTTAGGTGTAAGATTAAGGCTCCCCAAAGTACAATCTAGCTTTGTAGCAAAGGCCACTATACAATTTTTTTAATCAAACTTTTAAAGTGAATTATGAAAAGGAGAATATTGCAATGACAATAGTGGTAAAAACTTTTGTTTCTCTTAGAGCCCAAAAATCATGCAAATTTGCAAAATGTTGCCTAATGTTCAAGGGTCTCCCATGTTAAAACCGATACTGATAAAAATTGCTCTGGTAAGCAAAAACAAAATTAGATTCCGATAACGTTATCTCTTATTTAAAATGAATTGTTAGTTTCAATTTTAACAAATTATCTGAATGTTGTGCCCAAGGAAGGGGAGGAAAAGAACACTAATTGAAAGGTAGTGAACAGAGAAACTAATTACGAAATCAGTATTCAAAACTAATGCTAAATATTATGTCTTAGTAACTGATTTTTGTAACAATGTATACACTTATTGAACTTAATCCAATATCTTCCTGTTAAGAGTGCAAATCAGGCATTAAAAAAAATCATCACCATAATAGTGATAAAAATAATTAAGCACATACATTAACTCACATAACTCCTAGGCAAATGGTTCTTTTTTGTAAAAGAATAATTAGTTGTATTGACCCAAATACTAATAAATGAATAATTGTGAAAAATGGCACCCCAACTCTTATGAGTTAAGAGAAATATGGAATTGACTGTTTACATGGCTTTGAAAATAATACAAAATTCACTTTCATGTGTCTCCTAATAGCAACAACAACTCAGCAATTCTCTAAAAGTTAACAATGAGGTAACACACATGATTTTGTTACTTTGCATGGCAAGAAAATTTCAAAAGTATCAGTCCAATCAGAAAATTAAAAGAAATTAAACTTTTTTTTAAAGATCTTATTAATTTGGCACATGAAAGAAAATATACTTCCAAAAGTGTTAATCTAAAACTGATAAGATATCAGTCTAAGCACATTACTTAAAAAAAAGATACATAATCAGTCAAAGCACACTTGAAGTTTTTGCAAACACCTTTCAGAAACATTCCTTAAAGAAATTAAAAAGTAGAACAAATGTGAGTAATTTCACTTCCGTTAAATTTTGGGTTTTCTATCAATAATAATATTGTAATATATTAATTTCTTTATAATTTTACAAAAGTTTTGTATGGATATGAAGGCCACACACATAAAAGCATTTTCAAAATACCGACATACAGAATAAAATAATTGAAAATAAAATTAATTTCATTAAAATGATTTTAAAATATATTTTAAAAACAGTTGTTTTAAAGAGTTTTGTTTTAAACAGTCAAATTTATTTCAGCAAAGAAGAGAACTTGAAGGAACAAGAAAGTCAGCTCCAACGAAAGTCGTTTTCGAGGCTTATTAGTAGTAAGCCTTTCTCGATAGGATCGATCACTCCTTACAACGGACGCGCTGGCTCTAAAAATACCCCACGAGCATCATCAAAGGCGCGGGTGCACGCTCCGCTGAGCGCCAGCGCGCCCGCCCGCCCGCCGCCGACCCAGCTGCGACTCATCGCGCGCCGCGCCGCGCCGTCCCCTCGCCCGGCACTCGCACAACAATGCCCTCGCGCCCCGAAACATGAAGCACAACATCCATTGTAAATTTTGCTGCAGTACAAATTCCAAATGCAGTAAAGTTTTTTTTCTTTCTTTTTTTTCAGTTCGGTAAATTCGAAACGCAGTACAAATAATAAATCTTAGTAGAATTATTTAACGGAATGAAACTAAAAAAATTGTCTGACTATCTTAAAAACTGTTTATTTAACTTAACATATTGTTTTCAATTATGCCCATTCATATTTAACACCATTCCGACTAAAACCGTCTGCCTAACGAAAAGTTTCTAATGCTGTAGTAAAGTAACGAAAAGTTTGTAATGCTAATATCACGAGATGGTTACAATAAAACCAGACGTAATAAAACACCTCCCCAATTCTGTTTTTATTAAAAAAAAAGTGAATAGAGGCATGAATGAAGATGAAACTGAATAGAAATGACAACGAAGATGTGCAATGAGCTGGGTTTTTATTACAAGATACCATGACTTGTGATTTTGTGTTTGTGAAAAACTATGTAAACTGCACCATTTTGTGAAGTGTCGAAATTGATAAAAATATTTTAAAGGACGTTGTAAAAGATAAAAGTATTTAAGAATTGTTAAAGCTCTTATTCTTATTGTTTAGCGTTATGACATCCGGGGAGCTACCTTAATTTATAGAAACGACGTTCAAAAACGAAGATAAAGAATTAAGAGATGATAATATGACACTGCTCGAAACTTGGCTGCTTGGCTGTTATGAGAAATAAAATGAACTGAATGACAATGTGCTCACTGACGTGTTACCCGATCCTCGAGGCCAAAATCCATAATAGACTGGTATGCTTTGAGGTAGATACCTGGGATAATAAAACATTTTCTTTATTTTTATAAAACGAATTTCCTCTGGGTTTTCATATTTATTTCAATGTGCCAAATACACGTAAAATAATAACAGCACAATATTATTTCAAATTTATGCATAGGGATACTAATGCCACGTGCATCAACCAAACAAGTGAAAACTGTGCTGAACTGATTTCAAATTAGTTTTTCAGCACTAATTATAAAATACATTCCGTGTTTTTTCTATTTTTGTTCGATCAGTATTCTTTACTTCTGAATGACGCATCAAACCGGCCATGTAAATCATTTCCCAGACTTCAATCTTATTATTTATAATGAATGTAGTAAAAAAAGAATTGCGAACTTGAGACTACTCTATAATTGAACAATAACTATAGAAGTTTCACTAAAATAGTGTCTCGAACGACATGAACAGTGAGGCATGGCCTGTGATTATTGTTTTTTTTTAAAAATATTTTGTTCCATCCATAAATAATAATTTTCATCCATAAACAAATATCGCGATCCTAAATAACATAACTCCTCCGTCATCCACGACCGGCTAATTTTGTTTTAAAATTATGTAAATAAAGTAGAACCCAAAATTTTCAGGCTACATTGAGGAATATCTTTTCTAAAATTAGATTGATAAAAAATGGGTCAAATTAAATCTTCAGTAACGTGAAATTTACAGGGAGTGCTTTTCGTGCGAGTTTAAGATATAAAATACATTGTACTTACTCTTCTGAACGGGTGGACACGCTGTCCTTGTCCTTATGACCTTGGCCAGAAGAGCAGCTGCTCCCCATGATTACGCTTTTATGGAGAATTGAGCTCACAGGATAATATCACTCTTCAAGCGCACCACAAGCGCGGCATCTTCTGAGCAGTGCCTCATTGTTGGCTTGGAAGAGTACGACAAGAGGCGAACGGACCTCTTCGACCTGTTGAATTGAATTAAATGAGTGCAAGTCAGGAGAAACATTTTAAAATAGTGTTGAATTAATATAATACAGCGGTTTCATAAATTTGCACAACCTTGTAGACCAAATAATGCAGAAACTAATCTTCCAGAAATAATCTAAATATTGAATTCTTTTGACAATTTTCCAACGTTTATTTATTTTTATTCATAGAGCATACAAAATATCTTTACAGGCAAAGGCATCCTGCTTCATCAGGGTGAAAAGGTGGCTTTCAGATTTACACCAAATGAAATTTCTTACACGATTTTAAACAAAATGAAAATGTTCGCAAAATTGCAAAAGATTGAGAATGAGAATTACCTATGCAATCTACACAAATCCAACGTTTGCTTAACATTATAATGATAACAGTATTTTCTACTTAGAAATTGAATTATAGCATATATGTTAGTTGAAAATTAAGAAATTTATATTTACACAGTTATTGATTGAGACCTCTCTATTCACCAAGTTTGCCAAGAACCAGGAACAGAAAAAAATGTTCATGCATTTCTCTGGGTTCGATTGTTACATTAGAATCCAACCAAGTTACAAAGTTAGTACACGTAGTTTTTCTGTGGCAAGTGGCGAAATAGTTTTGAAGAGTTTTTTGAAACGAAGTAATGACCACCAGACCTAATCGAAAGCCGGTTTTAACTAATTTGTATCTCCTAAGATATTGCGACTTACGCATGCAGTCAATAGAGCTGTCAAAAATATATTGCGTTAATTAATAAGTTTTTTTTGGATTTTTTCCAAAACCAACACACGCTAGTTAACAGACAAGCGACTGTCACTTCGGTACCTCCCAATATACTCACATGAATTAAGAAACGAAAGGAAAACGGAAACTAAATTAACTTTTTAATCATCTGATTCTACAGAATGTGCCTAAAAAATCACGATCGAGACGAAACAATTAGGCAGTTTTTTAAAGAGAACTACAATAAATTAGAATGTATGTCACATCCATATGGCATTACATAGTATTTGAGTAACAGTTGTTGACATTATCATTGACGTACATACAAAGTCAAATTAATCCGTTCACTATTGAAATCAATACACGGTGAAACATTAGGTCGATTGTTGATGAGACATTAAGAAACGCTTTTTTTCTAACACTTAATCTAGCCATAAAGAGCCAATATGTCACTGACGTTATCAATAGAATTAATTAAAATTTAAGGCAAATATTTGCTGTAATGTTTACGCAAAAACACTAAAGAATGCTAGGAGATTATAAGACAAGAACACTTGCCTCTTGTTGGCAGCCATCTTGAAACTTGCTGAGTGAACAATCTTCTGCTACACGAGATGTGTAGGCAAAAAATTCACGTGATGATCACCACAGACAGTGGTCTTTCAAATATTGCTCAAGGCTCTACCCATTTTTCAGTTCCATGTTTACCGTAACTGAAATGTCTGACATTCGAATTTGGACATCATAACACTATATCAATTGTAAATGTCAGTAAAATCTATTTTATCTTCGTTAAAAATAAACAATTGAAATAACTGCCGCCTCATTAACATATTTATAGTATACTCCAGAACGGAGGAAATTTAATTAGAATTTGCTAGTATTTTCTTTCACAGTCTCGAATTAATTCCCACTATTATCAAAAAACGTGTCAACTTGCGTTACCCTTGATCATCAAGTGAACTCGTCCGGACTTCGGCAACGAAGCTCACAGCAACAGTGCGGATAACCTCTTTCAAGTGAACTTTTGTCCAGTGAATCATTTCTTCCTGAAATAATAGTCAATGTATGCTATTATCTCATTGTCGCAATGTTGAATAATCCTGTGTTTTTTTCTGAAAGATACACTTCACCGCAGAACGTCTGAAACTCGTTCCTCGATTCCACTGGCGGATAAATCAATAGCGCACCCCATCATGACGTCATTCCTCTCAGTAATAACCAAACTGAATGAACGAATGTAATTTTAAGAAAAATGTGTTCAGAAGACTTCGCGTAAATTATTTTCATTTCCTCTTAGCACATTTACATTTGCAGTTTAAATATAAATGAATAAAAATATTTCTGTACATCTACCTTCAAGAGTTTCGTGAATTGGAACTACGAACACGTGGCTCACTACGCTTTCCCTCTATGACACAAATCCACACCTGTTACCTTCATCACTTAACTTCCAACTCCTCCCCTGATGTTCTAGAAATAGCCGAGAGCTCCGACCAGCTAGTAAAGCATATGCCAGTTTTATGAAGTCACACACTCGGGTAGAATTCTTTCTCGGGCAAAAAATATACTTCCCGTTTATGTTGCTGTTATTTATTCAACAAAATGACAATGACCTCTGGCATTTCGTGCAATTAAAATATACTTATATTTTAATAAATTTTCTTTTCATAAAAAAGTTCAAACAAATTCAAAATTAATAAATTTAAAGGAATTCGTCGGATGTGTTCAGTTAATTTTGAATTTGGTTAGTCAGCCGTAATTTGCGAAGTAAACTTGGGCTAGCAACAGCATTTGCATCATATTTACTACTGAAAATAATTTGGTTCAGTTGGCTGACTTGCATTTTTTACATAGTCAAAATAATCGATAACAGTAGATAAAACATCCTTTCGTTTCAGATATCTTGTAAATTTCTCGATTACCAGGAACGTGTCAGCACTACACACATTTTACAATTTTCTTACTCAATGAAATAGGTAAAGTACCTAATTAAAATAATAGTTCAAAAGAGACATTCAAGTAAATCCCTGGACATCTGGGGGCATCTATTTCCTGTCTGATATTTCCACATAAATACTATATTTATAGTAACCCAATTATTTGTAAAACATCCCCTAAAACGAAAGTTTTAATGTCTGATAAAACATTTTATAAGTAGATTACATTCAATGTGTTTCAAAACTATCTACACTTCCTGAATGAAATTTGAAGTCAATCAGCTTTTAAGATTTAGGCATTGAAGATCAAGAATTTCCTTACTACAATCATTTCAATTTTCTGGCGCGCATACTAGGTACAAAATTTTGCTTCAACCACATGGACTCACCGCGCTTCGGTCGGCCAGGGAGCTTTCACTGGGATGATAAGAAAAACAGGCTGTCACGCACGTTCAAAACATAAAATAAATAAAGTTAATGTGCCACAAAATATCGCCGATTTCACGAATTTCTTTTATTTATCTGTTTCACTAAATCACTAGTATCTAAAATAAAAGCTAAAAATACAATGAATATGTTCTATCCTAAATTTCTTTTAAGTCGGTGGAAATACAGAAAATAGTTTTCTGTGCATGCTTATTCTGCAATTTTGACAAATAAAATCAATCTAGAAAGGTACAGTATCAACATGTGACAAACGAAATGCGCCAACTTGACAACACCAGCTAATTCACAACAATTGCCTGGTTACTACATTAAAGCATTCGGTTCCCTCGACAGCACAGTGGTGCTTCATATTGTCAGAACACGGCGAAGATTAGATGTAAATATGCCACGATGTTATTACAAATCGGTCCGATCCTTCATACGGGAAGATGAACAAAAAGGTAATATTAGTAGAAGGATTTGTATTTACTCGATAGTTATAAGGGAAAAGATAGAAGCGCAGAAATAATCGGATAGTTGGGGGAGGGAGACAATACTTCGTCCTAGCTACCGCGTCTAGGTTTGCTGTACTCACCGTAAATTCGTTCGCCATTTTTTTTCGAATTAGAAGTTGTGAATGTAATAACGATTATTAAAAAAAAAATAAAATGATTACAAATAATACGAAATAAGCATAAAAAATTAGGGATAACAAGTGTCGTGCCTGATTTCAAATATGGCTGAACACAGTCCTGGACGATGAATAAATTACTTATACTACTTTCATTGTCACGCTCTGACCAATGTAGGTGTATGTACCAAAAATATTGGTTGCCACTTTCTAAAATCCAAATAAACATAGTTTTATTCTCGCGGATTTGAACTAGTATAGGTTGTCATTAAAAATGCCAAGGAACACTTAGTCTACATGATGTATCAGGGAATCCAGAGACACGTAAAACGGATGTAACTTTACTGTAAGCTAGTGAATAAAAATAAGCTATGTATTGTTTTAGAACCCCAACAATTGAAATCCAAATATTTCAATGAAATGCCTAAAATAAATTTCAGGAAAATAAATAATTCATGACTATTGTGTGAATTGTATTTCTAGAAAATAGGAGTCCTGTTGAGATTCTGTCTCTTATGACTCCTGTGATTTATGGTAATATACTTTTCAATTATACTATCCACTTTAATTAGTCCTCAATCCTGGCGAATATTCCATGATTTCAATATTATTTCAGAACCTCCAGATATCTTTTTGGATTCATTTGGCAATCGACAGACTACAGACAAGACAACTAAAAACTCTCTACAGTTTACTAAGTGCAGTGAAGACAAAATGATGTCAGGACTATCAATTGTAACAAGATATTATCTGAATTTGATAAAACCAAATGAAGCTAACTCAAGTGTTGAGTCATCTCCATTAAGCTTGAGTGAGGAATCTGTTAGTGAAGGAGAATTGGAATATGAAAATGAGGTAGGCAACACATCTTGTGATGAAATATCAGCACATAACAGAGTAACTAAAATATCCTCCCAAGTTATATCAATAAAACTTGAAAAAAGAAAATTGAACAGTTCAGGAGAAGCTGCAAATTTATTAATTCATTCAAAGTATAACTTAAGAGATAGAAAAACAGTTAAGAGAAAACGCCCCAACTGGAAAGAATTTCCAGGAAACAAAAATAGAGAGAAAATAAAAAAACTTGATAATATTTGTTTGATAAATGGAGTATCAAAAAAGACTTCATCACTCAGTAATATCAAGAATGTGAATATAGGAAGACTCACAACTGATGCATTAATTAATTTTAAATCTGAGGAAATTTTAAATGAATTAAAGTCTGAGATAGTGTTAACAGAAAATCTTACTTCATCACTTAAAAATAATGCAAGCACGACTCAAAAATCTGAAAGTAATTTTGAACAAGCTGGGAGTTCTCAAATAATGGATAAAAACCATTATAATATTTCTCTAAATGAGAATAAACCATGTACCATTGGCAACTCATGTCTGACTACTGCAACCCCAAATTCAGTGACCGGAGTTGTTATTAATGTTTCCCAAACTGCACCCATTAATAATATTAATCTTAACACACCTTCAACCAATTTAAAAAATATTCAGTCAATACCTCAAAAATTAGCATTATTAAATGAAAAAGAGAATAATTCATTTTCACCATTAAACGAGAGAAGTAGTCTTCTGATGCAAGACATACCAACAATGGAAATTGAATTGCATGCAAACAAATCTAAAAATAAAGACTATCCTATTATAAGCATGTCTTCCAAATTAGTGACTCATGCTACTAATCGAAAAAATGGACATCCTGGTTTTACAAACAGACGATCTCCAATTCATGCATGTCCTCACTGTGAGAAGAAATTTGATCGTCCTTGGGTTTTAAAAGGTCACTTACGCCTGCACACAGGAGAAAGACCATTTGAATGTCCTGAATGCCATAAATCATTTGCTGACAGGTAAGGTCTTTCTACTAACAGTGGAAAACATCAGAAAATGATTTCTTTCTACATAATATCTACATCAATCATCTATTGTCCCAGCCACAAGATAACATTTAATAATAATTCACTATTCAAAAACATATAGGACTATTTCAATTAATAAAATAAATGACAGAAAAAGTAACAACTTATTACATTAATCATATAATGTATAAATTGATGTATAGAACCTGTTAAAAATTGTACCATTCAATATAATAATGGTGTTCAATGTGATAAGTTAGTTAATGCAATTATTGGAAGGGAAAGTAATATACTTTAATCTTATAGAGGGGTGGATTCAGAGACAAATTTTGGAAGGGAAAATTCAAAATATTTTCCTCAAATATGTCATGCTGTAATATGATTTGATTCGTTTTAAAGATAATCCGAAAATATTTTTGCTTGAAAGTCACAAGACAAGTTAAAATTAATAGTTACTGAAAAATTTTAGAGGAGGAAATTCCTTCATTTCCCATCCCATTTGATCTGCACCTGTCTCATTTCATGTATATCAATGTGCACGTAAGATAATTTGAATTAGTATATAACATTGAATGTCCTGGACCTGCTATTTGATTTTGAAATTAGGATAGAAAAAAAAATTATTAAAGAGAAGAGATATAAACATATTCCCATTATTTAAAAAATCATTTAAAAATAGAAAATTTAAAAACTAGATGCTCTGGGTGTACATAAACCATTATTGTATTACTTTTCTGTTAGTCATTCAATATTTGTCATTAAGCCATCAATATTTACTAACAGTGCCAAATAATCAGTCATAACTATTGATAAATGTATTCTAATTATTATGAATCTCTTTCTTTTAAAGAACACATTGAAATAAAAATTAAATTAGAAATAAATTTCCTACAGATTCCTACCATTGGCTTCAATGTATAACACACAGATAAGTAAATGTAAAAGTAACTTCACAAATATCCAAGTTTGGTTTTCTCAAAACTATAAATTCTGAACATACTATATGTGTGAACTAAGCCATTGAAACAAAATAATTTCTGAGAAATCACCAAAATGTTTCTAAATTTCAATTTAAATATAATATTAAGGAAGTACCCTATACCATAACATCATATTTGGTGAAAATAACCTGAAAATGTTAAGAGTGAAAGGAGCTATTAAATTATACATACTTTCTGATCACTGAATTCTTCAGAAATTTGATGAGACTTATTAGTATTTTATTAAATATCTCACTAATTTTCTTTGTGTAGATCAAACCTGAGAGCTCATCAACGTACCAGAAATCATCATCAGTGGGAATGGTATTGTCCAGTCTGTAATAAGGCATTTTCGCAGAAAAGATACATGGAACGTCATAGGTCCGATGCTTGTCGCAAATATCGCCAAAACCAGAAGAGAAACTCAAACAGTAAAGCAGAAGCCACCCCTCATTCAGTGGACATAAGTGAAACAAAAGAGGCATAAATAATATGAAATATACTGTTTTCTTGCTAGCAGTATATTGTCTGGCAATAATGAATTGAATCACAAACTAAACACACAATTCAGTGTAAAAATATCAGTTATGAATTTCATATTGGATTTGAGAAGATACATAAGAACTGTTTCTTGACGAGTGCATGGTTGTAACAAGACTGTTTTCTTAGGTGAAAATATTTTTGCTAACTTGAACAGTTTATGTTCATTTCTAATAATTGTTCAACAAGATATTTATATTTTAATGTGATGTAACAGTGCATAAAATATAGTAATAGAATAGAGAACTATATCAGTATTATGTATACTTTTTTTTAAAAATATTTATGTGAATTGTTATAATTTGCATTGTACTTGAATAAAATTTACATGTTGAAGAATTTGAATACACAAATTAGTAGAAATGAAGTAATAACAGTAATGTAAATGAAAGTAGTAATGTAAGTATTAACCAAATATTTTTAACAAATGAATTGCCTTTCAGTTATTTTCTTTTTTTAAAAAAAAATAAAAATATAGAAAAATGCACATCTTACCGCTTGTTTCAATGATTTCGTCAATTCAAAATAACCGCCTCAGACAAGAATTAATATAAACATGTCCATGCTTTCTTAAAAATTGAGAGAAATAAATCAAAATTACGAACTTCGAAGATTATTGTACGGTATGTATGAAATTGAGACTTTATTTTTAAAGTCCAAATTTCAGCCTGTTTTGAAAACGATTTTATCTTTTTGATCATGGTGTAAAGATAGGAGGATATTCCATGAAGTAAGAAAAATGAGTAAGCTTATTAGCCCCGCCGATTTGCGCTGTTTCGCTCGTATCACGAATCATCTCCGTAACGTTGGCATATGTCTATTAGTTCCTGCAAAAAGATGCAAAGATAGGTCGCACCACAGTTAGCGTCTGGGAGTCATTGATTGATATAAATCCGCACGTTTTCTTGAGCCCCGGAATATCTATCGATATCTACCTCCCATCCCACTCCTTTCCCAACATAAGTTGCATTGAGAAAACATGAGAGTTGTGAGCAAAATCTAGTGACGAATGTTCGCTCCCGTGCATTAAAAATTATTTTGCATGGCAAATGAACTACAAATTCGACGTAAAATTCCTTTTGTCAAAATAACCAAACATCACACTCGCATCTAGCGAAGCGAGGGCTCAAGAAAACGCGCGGATGATACATCTATACCCAATTTTAAACAGAAAGTCACTTCAACGTCACGAGTTAGGACAATATCAATCAATTGGAGCTCAAATACGAACAATTTAAGTAGCAAAGAAGCTCACGATTAGTGTTCCCTTCTCCACCCCGCTACTGACTGTGAAGTGACATTCTGATCAAATGGGGTGTAGAATAGCAGAATCAAACCGGAATTGAATGACATCAAGTCCACTTCAGAGGCCCTCTCAAAATCGAATTATTTCGTACCGGTTTATTATCTATTCTGTGTTTTTATTGCTTCTTTAGGCAGGGATTGTATAATCGTATCGTATTTGTTTCTATCGCAAGTGAATTAAGTGAAGTGCAACAATGTTTAGGTTATGTGCAAATTTGAGACTAACACAACTTCCCAAAAGTGTTCCTAAAAGTTTTATTATAACTCTTGGATTGAGGCGTTACTCATCACCTGCAAAAGTTAGTTCTACTTCCAATAATTGTTCAGAGCTTTGCAGAATTTCACTTGAGTCCTATCTTGCTTTTTCTATTAACGTGAACCAATTAATTTACTTAATGGGATTAGCCATAATTATACTAATTACTTAATGTTCAGGTAATGGTATATTTATGGTTAATGGTGTATTAGTGCTAGAGAATGGGCTCAAAATAGTTTTAGCATTTTTTTTCCATTTAAATTGATTGCATATATATTTTACAGGAAGCAAAAATATCAGTTGATGGTGTCAACATCAATTATGTGAAAGTGGGCACTGGACAACAGAATGTTTTATGCTTTCCAGGCATGTTAGGTACGAAAACAAATATTGTATATTATGTTCATGGGCTGGTGATTTTAAGAGGTTATTTATTTCTAGAGTCAAAATTATTAGATTGTTTGCATTAGAAAATATTTAGTATTATTCACACTATAATCTAATTTACAATTTTGTGCAGGTACAATATGGACAGATTTTAAACCTCAAATTGAAAAATTGGACACATCTAAACTGACTGTTTTTGCATGGGACCCACCTGGGTATGGTGGAAGCTTTCCTCCTAATAGAACATATCCTCCAGACTTTTATTATCAAGATGCAGAATGGGCATTAAAATTCATGAAGGTTAGTATCACAATTTATAATTTCAATTAATAAATTTTATTAATCCTTTTTTTTTTAATTCTTTTAGAAGCATTATTAAATAATTTTTCAGGCCCTTAATGTTCAACGCTTCTCACTTCTGGGGTGGAGTGATGGAGGAATTTCTTCTCTGATCCTTGCAGCTAAACACCCTGGTCATATTGAAAAATTAATAGTTTGGGGAGCAAATGCATTTGTAACTGCTGAGGACACAAAATTATATGAAGGTAAATAATCTCCAAAACCATTAATCTTCATTATATATGGATTGGTCAGTGATGCAAGTATAATTTAATACACCATTTGTACCCTCAATATAGTTTTCTATTTCTCTCAGGTATTAGAGATCTTAAAAACTGGTCAGACCGCATGAAAGCACCTCTGATTAAGATATATGGAGAAGAATATTTGAGCAAGACTCTAAGTTCTTGGGTTGATGCTCTAGTAGATATACAAAAAAATCAAGTTAATGGTGATATTTGTAGATGGCTTCTTCCTTTTATTCAGTGCCCAACTCTAATCATTCATGGGGCCAAAGATCCTATGGTACCATCTCTTCATCCACAATACCTGTTGGAAAATATCAAAGGAGCAAGGTAAGTAGATAGGCAAAATAACATAGATATCTCAATGAGAGAGTGAGCAAATATGTATAAAGTAAATAATAAACAAGACAAAATTTATATTTATTTAGCTTTCCAGGCTGAAAGGCTGTTATCTTATCGAGTTAATTGTACTATGAGACATTTTGTCTGCACCTGAAGCAGACATACTCAGTGACTACCTGGCAGTGGTAATAAAACTCTCCTTGTTTCCTAGCGGTCTAGACTAGTTGGACTGTTGCTTCAGTGCAGTCGTTCTCAGGTAGTTCCAAATGAATGGTGGGCTTCCCACCACTGAAATGTTGTTTCCCCCACCCTTCTTGCAGTGCCCCCAAACAGGTGGCCAAGCTGAAGTGAAGTTTAGTCCAAAAGTTTAAAAAGGATATTTGTCAGCAAAGTTGTAATTGCTTTTTTCTAAAGCCTCTTTTTCCTTTTGCTGAGATATTGCTAATTTTTAATTGAGATTCATTGATACCAATCTCTCATAATGGACGACTTTGTAATTTTTAAAATTTGTTTGGAGGAGTTTTTGAATTTTACACAATTGTATTATTCACATGACTAATGGTTGGTAATTTTTATATTATTGGAATACATCTTTATTATGTGATGTTAATTTCAAAGAACTTAGAATTGTGATACCTAAACAGAAATGTGGCTAAAATTTTATTCAGAACAATTACAAGTTTACAAAAACTATATTTGAAGGTCAACACACCAATGATACATTTTTACAGATTTTTTCTAGGGATATAATATTTGCAGAAAAATAACTTTGGTAGCACTTTGGTTTTCAGTTCCCAAATGGGTCATTCCTCAAGGTGAGACCAGGATAAGGGGGAGATTGCATCGCCATGCTGCTTGAACTTAACCTGCAGCTTAGCATACTAGCGTGTTGTGAATAAATAATGCTCTCAGTTTTTGAAGTTGCTGAGCTAAAAACCAAAAATATTCTCTTGCACACAACTCACATTTGTTGCACATTCTAAGTGTATCTTTAGCATAATTTTTGAAAATTCTTTCTCCTAATTCAAGAATGTCAAACACAGTTTTCACACACTTAATTACAGGATATTTTCAGCTGCAACATAAATCATAATGAAGTCAAGACATAGTTCCAAGATTCCCAAACCTCTTTTATGGATATTTAAAAATTCTATAGTTTATCAATGATTTCAATCATTTTTTTTTCCCTCTTTTTTAATCATTACTTTCAGGAACCCTAACTGCAGTAATGCATAGAGAGTACATTCATAGAGGCTCTCAGCATTGAGACAACACCATGCGGGGGGGAACCAGTTTTCTCTTTATTTAAAAGTCGCTACAGCTGATAATTACAACTTAGTAAAATACAAATATTAGTTCCTGTGTTTAGTTATTTAATGAATAAATTCAACAACTGATTAACCTTAAAAACAAGGAAGAATTAGAAATTCAAACCATGCGAAACAGATTTAAAAAATAACAAGTGTATCCTGTAAAGAGTATGAGTAAGCATGTCCTGGAACAGTTAATAAAAAGAGATCACTTACATAGAACACTGAAAAGATTAATACTAATCAAGACTGAAAATGCATGCGAACATTAAAATACAAAAGGCGATATTACTTGAATTGTATTGTAACAGTCCATGAAAAATCAATTTTCTTTTCAATAAAAAAGAATTATAATTACTTTCTCCTTTTTATAGATATCATGAGTTTCCTGATGGGAAACATAATTTGCATTTAAAATATGCTGATGAGTTCAACAAACTAGTTGAAGAATTTCTGTTGCAGTGAATATGGTAACATCAGCACAAGGTAATTTGAATTTAATGATCAATTATTCATCAGATGGTAGTAACATTTGTTCATCTGCATTTAATAATGCAAGTAAATTGAAATATTAATAATGGATTATATTTAGTATGATACTTCACAGTTGAGAAAAGTTCATGAACTTTGTTTGCAGTCAGTTAATTAATTTTCTATTAATGTTTTGTTAATTGAAAAGTGAATACATTTTTCACATTTTTGTTTCATACAATTTTTTCTTTTTGTTTTTCCTTCAGATAAATTTAAAGAATTACTTCAACATTATTTGGGTCCTATAGTTTTGCTGATTTGTCATTTTTTTAAGAACTGATGGAAAATATGATATTAAGAATGACAGTAATTATTGTAATTTTCGAAGTATGAAAAGTAACCAACAGTAATTTGTTCTGTTGTTTTCCTTATCTGTATCATCTTGCCAAGAATGTGGGGGAGTGTGCTGGCTAACATAAACATAGAGCAAGGTATTAATCCATACTTTCTTAGTAAACCTTACCATTATCAAATACTCAATTGTCAATCATTTTGTTTTCATTTTACTTACAGATGTACTGATGTATAGAGTACTAGGTATGAAATATATTGTTAATAATATATTTTTATACAAAATGGAATAAATGAAATTTTATTTATTATTTGCTTGTATTTTTTTTTAAATACCCAATTAGAGATATTTGTGTAGTATACGTGTGTGTTTGGTGCATTTACACTAAACAAGGGCGTGTTATGAGAGTCAATCATTAGAACTGAAGAAGCCATGTAGAAAATTTACAGTTAAAAAATGTTAATTTTAATCATTGAGAATTTTTAATTAAATCACCTTTAGCATATTTGATAGTAGGCTATTGAAGAAAACTAAATACACAATTCTGTAATTTATGTTGTTTGGGGATTCATTCTTTGAGACATTGTTTAAGAGAATAATTTGTTAATGTTTTGTTTTACTTTCTTCTTAGCATAGAGAAAGAATTGTAATGCTGCAGGTGTAGTGCCGATTTTTCTGCAGAAAATCTCGTTTTATGTACTTATCTGTTCGTGATGAATAAAAACTGTGATTTTACTTCCTTGCAGGGGTGAATTCAGAGACCAATGCCCCCTCCCCCCCCCCTCATGTTGGGACAAAGCTTTAAAGAATCTATGTAGACATTTCATTCACAGAACTTCTAATATATATTATAAAAGATTTACTTTTTCCTGTATTTTGAGATGAAATTTAATAATAATTAAGCCAACAATAATTGTATTAAGCTGAGCCAATAACATACATTAATAAATTAGTGAACTTCAGTTGAGTATTATAAAATGGGCGGGATAATGTTCAGTGTTACTGTGAATATCCTGTATTAATAAATCATTTTTCAAATGTTATTTGCTTTAAAAGCTATTTACTTAGAAATTAATCAGTTTGATGCCTAAACTCATGAGTAATATAACACTAATAATAATAATAATAATAATAATAATAATAATATTTATTGATTCACATATACAATTACAATCGTGTATGATGAGTCAATATGATGTCTTGCGTGGAGAGAGCAAAATTACATTACTGTTCAGGAGCAAACAAGGGGCCATCTCAGCATTTGCTCAATGGACTAGGGAAACTGAACAAAACCTGATCGAGATGGGGTAATTGGCCTAGAAATTATACTACAATACTTGTTACAGATAGATTAGGATATTATACAGTAGATAATTATTTTTAGTAGTAGATAATTTAACATTTCAAGATGTTATTTTAATGGTACTACTTATAACTATAATGATAATAATTACATTATTAACAATAATAATAATAATATTAGAACAATACGTATCAATTCTGTTAGCAACTACATAAAATTTAACAATAGTAGTACATTCTATATTTAAAACTTGCAATGGTGAGGAGGCAAGTTTTGACCAGTTTTTTCTTCTTTTAATTTGTACACGTCCAGAGAGAAACACAATTGTTTTTCTTTTTTGTCAGGCATTCTGCTATTTCACGGGATATTAATAGGGGAAGTTTTCAATAAAACTGCTTATTTGTTTAAAAAATAAAAATGTAAGTTCATTGTACTTATAAAATTAAAATAAAAACAATGTGTGAAACAATTTTTGAATAGAAGTTTATTCAGTATTGTAGACATTCTTGGAACAAGTGAATGATCTTGGCTGTCCAGGTGACGCCGCGTCTTATCGTGGTCTTCCTCAGGGCTGGTCTGCGCCGGAGTGGTCAGCGCTCGGGTTTATATTAGGGCGGGGCCGAGAACGATTGGCTGAAACAGCCGGCCAAATGGAAGAATTTCAACGTCGAATCATTCAGTCAATCATACTCGGACCCCACCCATATATTAGCACGAGAGCTGACCACTCGGGCGCCGAGGTAGATTTCGACACAGTGCTCTCTCTAGCACCCTGGCGGGTGACCTGAACGTCAAGTGCGAGGAATGGTGATGCAACACCACTAACAGAAACGGAAACTTATAAGCTTCCTGCTACCTTAGAACACAGTGAACCTCGTCCCACCCTTCACTCCCACCTGCTTCCCAAACAACCCTAGTGAGAGATACGAGATCGTCGACGTGGCGCTCACGGCCGGAAACAGTGTAACAACGCCAAAACCAATTCCCTTGTCCTTATCAGATCATATTCCCAAAACCTTTGATATAGGCAGCGTACGCTCCTTTAGCTAACCCAGGCAGTGGGTCCCACAACCCACAGATTGGAACGAGTTCCGCTCACTCCTCGCCACATCACACACCAACTCTCCGACAATCATAGACTCAAAAGAATATGTAGACGCACGGATACAAACACAAAACAACTACAATTGGCCTACAGGAAGGCGACGCCAATATTTTGGAAGAAAGATCAAACACACTCACCGGACGTTGTAGATCTGCGCGAAAAACGCAAGGCTAGACGGCTCTGGCAACAGTTCAGATGCCCCGCCCTCAATACCTAATTGTGCGGATGCGAAAACCGCCTAAAAGCGGCGCTATCAAACCACCACACAGCCGAGTGGGAAAAGCGCATGAGAGAAATGGGCACCGATCACTCACGAAACGGTCTTTTCAAACTTCGAAAGACTCAGGTCCGTACGGAACACATACCCTGCCATTCGCGGTATCGACAGCGCGGATGAAAAACCAACATACCTTTTCAACGACCAAGCAAAGGCGGAATTCTTTGCAGACATGCTTGAAACGTTTACAAACAACACCTCACAAGCAGACGACGAGGAAAATGCAGAGGAAAGAAATGCCGTACTCACACACTGCACTGCCGAAGAAATTTCAAAAACTGTTACAAGCATGCGCAGTCGCAGGGCACCGGGCCTCGACCAAATCGTTCCCACAATTCTCAAGGAGGCGCTACCGATCATTATCGGAACTCACGCACATTTACAACTGCATCACACTTACGTACTTCCCAGAGAACTGGAATCACGCTAGCATTTCAATGCTCCCGAAACCCGGAAAAGACTCTCGCGACGAGCCAAGGCCTATCAGCCTTCTCGCTGTTATGGGGAAAATTTTTGAAAAACTAATCCTCGTGCGAATCCAACCAGCTGTAATTTCGCAAAACCTCATACGAAATGAACGATTTGCCTTTCGACCGGGACATTCAGTCTCACTACAGGCACTATGTATGCAGCAGATCTCCACTGATCTCATCTCACAGGATGTACCTTGTCTTCTACCTCGACATGGTACAAACCTTCGACAAAGTGCCACGCAGAGCGCTAATTTCCAAACTTATGTGCTACCTCCCACAAGATGTAACGGTCATGTTTACTTCTTTCCTCAAAATCCGCACGTTCGTGGTCAAAGTGAGAAAAGCGAGATCCTCAAAGCGCGGGACTTTCGCCGGAGTCCCCCCAGGGCTCCGTGCTCCCGCCGCTACTGTTCTCGCATTATGTCAATGACACCACAGATATCGCGAATACGGTTATTTCTCTATGCTGATGAGATAGCGGTCCTAGCGAGAGGAATAAACTTAGATCATAAATTAAAAACACTACAAAAACAGATGAACCTGACTCTGAAGTGGGCTGAACAAAATCACTTGCCTTTTTCAGCGGAAAAGTCTCAGGCAATCTGCTACTCTCGTCGCAAACACAAACATACAAAGCGGGATACGTCGCCCAAACAATAATCGGGACCCAAAAACTTAAATGGGCGCCTAAGGCAACTTGCTTGGGCGTCACTTTCGATCGGAGGATGCGGTGGTATTAACATGTCAGGCGAATCCGATCGAAACTTCGGCAGAGGGTCCGTCTCGTAAACCCATCTTAAAGGAATCTTCCCTCCCCTTTCGCCTGGCACTCTATAAAACGTGTTGCCGGCCTGTGGCCACCTACGCCGTATCGATGTGGTGGACTACAGTACGTACATACAAGGATACACTTGAGTTATTGTAGTTCAGAACAGAGTTCTGAGACTCATATCTCGCCCTCCATTTCGGCATCTGAACTGTTGCCGGCTCCATTGTACCTGGCTTTTAAGAAATGTTGACGTCCGGGCGTCCTTCCTTCACATAGAACTTGTCCCCATTGTGGTTAGATGTAATCAGCATCGCCAATTAATTCTGACTTAAATGATCATAAATTTTTAAATACAACACTAATAAAATTAATATAAATTGTTTTTATGGTATATAAATTATTTTTATTTCTTGAAAATGGAGGGGGAGATCTCAAGCGGTATGTAATTATTTTGGGAGAGTTCAAGCGCGCGTCACGTGTGCGCTACCGTGGGAGGTGGGGGTATTCAAAATACTCCACATTTGCGATACGTAATTTATGTACGGTCCTTCATGATACCATCAGCTGGATTCGGTTATTCAATAAAGAGCTTCGTTAGAGCTATAATTTTGGTTCCCGATTGAATAGCCTTGTCAAAGGGGATGATCTGTCACAAGACACTATAATTAAATCCAGTTGGCGGCTCGTGCTTAGGTTGCACGGTTGCACAACCTCCAGATAATCGAAAATGATCATTTACTATCTTAGGAATATACATTTCTTTGTGATAAATTCAATATTCAAGATATAATAGCAATATCGATGTATATTAAATCATTTTGAAAACAAAGAACGCCCAACTAGCGCTCCCTCCACCGTGTGGTGTTCTCCCAAGTCACTCTCACAGCGTCACGCTCTTGGCCCTCTTCCTGCATTTGATCTTGGGCCTTACACTTCAGTATTTAGGGCCTTCGGTGCTGCAACCAAGTGGATGGGGGTGGGGACTTGTCGCCGAGCCTCTCTCAATATAATATATTCACTCCGCGCCAAGCGTTGTGCGGCATCCGAGGCAGTGCGAGGGGAATACCAATATTGTCCTCGTCTTACTCTAGCTTCAACTTAATTTTATGAATTTCGCAAGTTATTGAAAGTACACTAGTTTAGTGAATTGTTGACGGTATTGAATGCATTATCTATATTTCGAGAATATGTTTTCATTTGAAATTAGATTTGTTGGTTCAAAACGTACATTTGATAAGTTCTGTGTGTAAAGTTAGCCGTTCTGGAGGGAAGTCCCTTTCTGTCTCACCTCTTGGCGGACGCGGCACAAAGCCACAGGTCACACAAGGCAGCCTGTCTCAAGCAGTCTACAAGCTTTGTAGTGAATACGAGTGTGTAACTTTCTTTACTGCAAAATATAGCAGGGTAGAGAAGTTTTCGAAATAAAATAATTTTATTGCTTAAAACGGGTCCACCCAAACAATGCACGTTGCTAAGCGCTGGAGTGCGATCACCGTACTTTCGAAACCATGTTCTTTTTTGTTTTGTGTGAATTATATTACCGTCAATTGTTTCAATTCATAACTAATACAAAAAACTTGAGTGCTCACTGGAAATCAAAAGCCAGAACTACGTGCGCGGGAGATGAATATACCTGATAGTGTCACTGCGCATAAAATTATGTAAATATTTCAATACAGATTTTTATTAAACTTAATTTTAATTACTTTCCAAGAATTGCTTACACTATATATTAGTGTTCTGAGTTTCGGGCATTAAATTTCCGTCATTCGATGGAGCTGCAACCACCCGCCACCACATTAAATTGGACAATATAAATAGTACGAAGTTCACGAGCCAGACACGCCCACTCCCGGGTCAACATCCAACCTGTGCCCAACACAGGGCCAAAACTCCTTAACCTATAACGCGCACTTCGACGTTCTAACCAGAGAGTAACACAGTGGTTCTAACACAGTGACGGTAGTGACATCACATGTTTTAGACCATTATCATACCATCGGACATAATATCGGTTAAGTTATAAAACATAACTTTATTTGTCAAATAAGTACTATATTAGGACATGCAGGATTCAGTGCGAGGTCGCCCTTTACTTACACTTTGGCTCGTAATTTTGTATCTTTTAGATTCCTTTTATCGCACGAGAAACCTGGAAACATGAACACTTCAAAAATGATTGCACAGGTTTGCAGATTACCAATTACTTTAGGTTGCCCAGGACGCGGAATTGGTGGGCGTTTTAAAACATTGGATATCAAAACGTTGTCGACTGAAGTAGCATCAGCGGTAATTTGTAAAGCTGGAACATTTACAACTAATAATTCATATTGACGTTATCGTTTTAACTTGCACATTCTGTTTACATTTTGTTTTAGGTGGAGAGAAAAATTGAAGTTAATGGAGTTAATATTAACTACATTAAGGTTGGAAATGGCCCTCATAACGTTCTGTGTACACCCGGCGCTTTAGGTAAGAATTATCTTTTGAAGTCTTATTTTAGTTGGTTGTTAGGTGTTAATATGCTACTTGGCAAAATATTCTGTAATATCATTGTCTATGTTAAGACTATCACAATGAATATTAGATTTTTAAAACTTAATTGCTTCTTCTTATTTCATGACAATTTCATTTCAGATACAATTTTTGCTCCCAGAAATTAGCATTTTTAAAGTGGTGATACTTCATTACAGTTAAACATTAAATTGTACAGTTAATAAGTTAAGTTATAGTTAATTGTTACAAATCATATTTTATTCTATTAAAACAGTATTAAGTACTATGCCCTTATGTATTTTTTGAAATAGGTTCCATTTGGACAGATTTTAAGCCCCAAATTGATAACATGAATAAGTCAAGATTTACTTTAGTAGTTTGGGATCCACCAGGATATGGAAAAAGTATTCCACCCAAGAGGGATTTCTCCCCAGGATTCCATCATAGAGATGCAGATTTTGGAATTAAATTAATGCAGGTAATAACTAATAGCTCTGTTGTGAGTTTACAGAAAGTGTCTTTCTTAAAGCTTTTTTTTTTTTTTTACTTTAGGTATTAAATATTGAAAAATATTCCTTATTAGGTTGGAGTAATGGAGGTATTGCATCAATGATAATGGCTGCTAAGTCACCACAGAATATAAATAAACTAGTTTTATGGGGTTCTAATTCATATTTTAGTGAAGAAGAGGGTGAGAAATATAAAGGTAATGTATTAATCATCAAGTTTATTTCATTTCATGAAATCAACCCAGTGGCAGAGCTGTTAATTGTTTTTTCCCCTTTCCCATTCCCTTGACTGCATTGTTGTCATTACAGTTTTTTATATTAAATTTTGTTATATATTATATTACAATAGTGGTCAGAAGTTTGTGTTGTATATTCTTATGTTGTTTACAATATAAGATAAACAATTCAACATTGTTCATAACTATTTGTTCCCATTTCCATCAGGTTTTTCATCCAATTTTCCATGAACCATTGAGTAAATGTTGAAATGGCCCCTAGTTTTGCCCCGGATTTACTCCTAGCAAGCGCTCAACATCCTCATAGGGGTTCAGAGACATGTGTCAGTATCAGATGCAACAAATTTACAAAAAGCAAAGTTTTTAAAAGTATTTATTACAAAAATATTTTACTTGATGAATCCATTAGCGTATTAAAATTCGTAGATTGTACTGTGTCACTTTCAATACTGTTCTTGAGGCATTGAATTTCAGGGAATGTTTTACAAGTTTAAGGTTTAAAACGGACATTTCTGTTATTGCTCTCCTAATAGGCAATGTCACAAATAAAATTGTGCTGTAATAACGTTGGGAAAACTTGTAGACAAGAGTGAATGTTGACAAATTTGGGCTATAATTTGTCAACATTGTGCAAGTATCAGGAGAGGTATGGCAGGGAAGTACTATCTGTACACATTTTTTAGAGCTCTGGAATTCCAAACCTGTCTCTTTACTACACTTAGTTGGAAAATACTAAAGGGTAGCAACAATGGTGTTTTGGCAAAAGTTAATAGTAAGAAATATTTGTTCTTATAATGTACAGCACTAATTTACAATGCACACGGAAAGTGAAAGAAAATTATACAGCCTCCTGTCATGTGAGAGACATCCACAGAGAGGTGTTCTTAGATACCAGTGAACTTGAAAAATTCTAAAACAATGAAACAGTCTCAGTTTGACTGAAAAATGAAAATATTTGACTATGGTATTATGTCTTTTTTCTAACACTGTGCATACAGTCTGAATTCTCATACTTTGTGCATCGCTGCTTATGATACATACGGTGTCAATTGACAGCAAGATTCCAAGAAAGAGGTCATCCTCTATTAAATATTTGCTATTTATATACTTCATTTTGTCTTGGACTGTTGTACGTTATATATCATACTACATTCTTGCAGTATATATGAAGACTGTTATTGTTTCAAAATGTAATTTATTGCAGTGATATGAGAGAGTACTTTATTTGCTGTTCATGCAACCTTTTTGAAAACCATTTTGTGTGTGCTTTTTAACAGCATTTTTGTTGCTGCAGGCCACTAGAATGAACTATTTGCTTCAGCAAACAAGCATTAGGTATTCTTAGTACCACTTATGAACTAATGAAATATCTCACACTCCCTGCATCCCTACATTTAGAAGCATGGGCCTCTATTTTTTGCTGTAAGGGGTATAATGGAGAGATGTCCGCAGTAATCTGTAATTTATTGAATTCCCCCCATAATAATTTGGAGCTAGTGACTTCCATGTTGAGGAAAAACAAATGAACATTGTGATAGTTACAACTGTCACAAGGGGATTAAAATAGTTTAGAAAGGGGACATCTCAGCATATTCCCTTTGGATCAAGTGAGAACTACATTGAGGACACTTTTATATTGATTATATAATATCAGTTATTGCTTGCAGTAAAGTCTGTCATAACTAACACCCATCAATAGTTTGGTACTTGAATCGTCCAACTTTCATTTTAGTTGAATAACTCAATGCTTTCTTTAATTTTCAAATTAAAGTGCCCAGTGTAGGTTTGATAACTTCACCATTCACAAGCTGAATACAATAAGAAATTCATAAAAATTAGAGGATAAATAGTAATAATGCAGTTTATAAATTTAAACTCACTTGGTTAATATTTGCAATTTTGCATTAAAAATTAATCAGATAGGCATGTTTCCTTCAAAATCAGACATGTCTCTGTTACCCATTCTGTGCTGTTGTGTAATTAATTGGAGAATTGAAGCTGTAAAAAGTTCTATGCTCTTGAACTCTGAAAGATTGTACTCTTCTGTGTTGATAAATGTGATTGCTCATTGAAAACAAAGGATTTTAAATTGGGACAAGTAAAAATCATCTATATTTTACTCTTTCTATTTTCTTAATAAAGATTTATAATGTGTATTCCATGTCAGTGATTCATAAACAGGGTAACTTAAGCCACTTCTTAAGGTGAATTGTCAATTTGAAGGAGAAGGTGATAATAATTTTGTTTCACAATTAACTTAAGAATCTCTCAAGTCTGTTATACCCAATCCTATGTTCAGATACAATGTAACACGTTTGATACACAAAATTCAGAAATGTGGTAGAAGTATCCTAGGAAAGTGGGTAACATTGGCTACAGAGTAGTTTTTTTCATCCATGAAATATTCATTGCACAGATTTTAGCAATGTTGAGTTACGTCAGGTGTGTGTAGTTAGGGGACATAAGAGTAAATCCAGGATTGGAGGATCCAATTACCTCAAGAGAGAAGCGACTCGTTAGATTGTTCCCCAATATTATCTTCCTCAAAAATGTGGAGATTTTTCAGAGGCAAATTGAAGTTTTGCCCTTAATAACCTGTTCCAAAATATACAAGGTTATTATTTAGGTATCCATGCCCTCCTTTTTTCTTTACGAATTTGACATGGTTGAAGTTACATGGAAAAATTAGCTCCCTGGTAATATGATGTCAACCAAACACTAATTGTTGAATGTATTATTTTTCCCTCTCATAATAGTGAGAGATACACAACAAGGAGCACAATAACAGAAATTTATTTAAATATTAGACTTCAACTACCTACAATGTAATACCTTCATTTCACTCTTCTGTGAAATGACTCAACGGACAGAACTGATTTCAAAGGCTGAATGACTATGAGTATTAGTTTGCAAAACTATTTGTTAAACTTTAGGAAGTGATCTCAAAATTAGTTATTTTATCGGATCCTGTATGTTAGCACAATTACACCTATGTTCCGACAGAATAGGATAAATTACCCCAAATGGCTGAAATTGAATGGTACCTCAGTATTGGCATTCCCAGCACCTTGTGGTGAATAACAGTGATTTCCTAATTTACAAAACAAATAAAGAATTGTAAATTCAAGGATACAAAAACACCAATTTATAATGTAATTGAAGTCATTATTAAATGTTAATTTTCAATTAACTCCCACATCTTTTGTTTGTAATATATATATATCTAGACAATACATGTTGATATTGTGTTTTTGACCCATTTATAAAATATAAAAGAATTTAACATTTGGAAATATTTAAATCTCTTTCTCCTAGTGTTTTCAAATATTAACCTTAATCATCTTTGATTTTTTCATCATCATCATCATCATGAACTGAAAGGTGTTAAGACTTAAGCGTGTTCCATTAGTTATGCAGTATTCCTGGTAGTTAGTCTTCCAGGTATTCCTGCTGTTGCCATTTCTTTCATGGTTTTCTAATGTCTCTGTTCCCTGTTGGTTTATATTTCCATTTTAATTTTTGGCCATCTGTTATGGTTCATTCTTTTAAGGTAATCTTGCAATTTTCTTTGAGAGTTTTCTATTCCCTCTACTAAGTGTTTAGTTTCTTTCTAATGTCTTCGTTTCTCAGTCTGTCTCTTCTTGTAATTTCTATAAGGTGTCTTATAATAAGGTATCTCATACGTGCTGCTTATATCTTACGTTTATCTCTCTCTTTCATTATCCATGTCTCAGAGCCATGGAACATGGATTGTGATCCCCAAGCAAATGCTGATTTTTTTTTAGTTGAGGTCTGTAATACAACATCCCTTTTATCCCATTACTCCTTTTTGCTCTTGCGCCCTTCCTGAATCCTGGGGACTGTGTAATGTGAAAGGTGGGGGTCCTGTAACTCCACCATTGTTATGAACCAATCTAAAGTATTACTCCTATTTGTAACAACAGTGTAACCCAAATTATCCAAAGTCTGATTTATGAAGATCTGGACTCATATTTTTAATCTGATGTCTTTCAATTGAATCAATGCTTCAACCCAAGTGATACTTTGTGAAGACGTAAATCTAACGAATAAACTGAAAATAATCATAACAGAGCTGTCTGTATTATGTAGAATTGTTTTCAGTTGCATTCTAATATATGTTACATTACACAGCATAGCAGCAAACCTTGACAAAAATCACTTACAAAATATTCCGAATAAATTTATAAAAACATATTATGTGTGTTTAAAATGTAAAATATGCTTTTGGATTGTATCAAACATTATTATTTAATATTTAAAAAGCAATTAAAATATTACTATTCCTTTACTATTGATTATCTCAGGAAACCAAGGGAATCCATCCCCATCTACCTCAAATATCAGGGAACCACTGAAATTGTATTTTTTGTTCTCAGTCCTGCTTAATTGAAATAGTTAACTATTGTTTGTTTGTTTTTTTGCATCAAAAGTAAATCTTGTTGCCAGTGTGTCTCCCAGTTTACTTTGAACCTTAATTTTTTTGTTAAATTATTTTACCATATGCTAATTATATTTTTTTCAGCCTTTCGAGATCATTCAGTCCTTTCACCAACATTAAAAGCTCCGTATATTGCCCTATATGGACAGGAGTGTTATGATGAGATGTGGACTTCATGGATAGATGCCACTGCAGCAATTATGGCGAGTGAAACTAAGGGTGATATTTGCAAGACATTATTACCAAAGATATCATGTCCCACATTTGTTTTGCATGGACAGTTGGATATCAATATAGCTCCAGAACATCCCCACTACATCATTAAGAATGTAAAGAATTCAAGGTAATCTTCATTTAAAAGTAGTAGACAAATTTGAAAATTGTATTAAACTCCCAAATCTTTAATGTTGAGTTCTCTGTACTAATGCACTTTCCTCTCTTAAGCTGGCACTACCACAATAACTTACAACAAAACCACATATGCCATCATTTAGAACTATTTAAGTCTAATGAAAATTATGCCAATACCTTATAGTGTCCCTCCATAAACTTCAATTATGGTCGCTGAAAATGCATGTCCTTATCTACTGTTTGTTGATAAACCCTGACGAAGCTGTGTTTGATTTTATTGTTGTAGGTTAGACATCTGTGGTATCGAGTTTATTTTGTAGAAATTGTATTGTTTGAATTAAATGGGTTTATATTGCGAAACGTGTTATTAACCTTTTTTTAGGTTTATAACAGCAATTATTTGGACTAAGTGCTCATACACATTTTCAAAATTTATTTGTAACTCGAGGGTTACATTGGACATTGTTTGTAGTAACTGCAAGTTTTAAATAGGTAATTTGTTTGATGACTTTTTGCACTTCTCTAGATATTTTATTATTATGGAAAGTAAACATTCTATTTGGAACATATGTTCTATTGGTATTTGACTCATGACTGAAATATTGATTTATTTTTGCAAGTCCCTCATTACATATGTGTATTTTATTATTGTTGACTAATATCTACATTAATGTATCTACATTACTTCTTTAAAACATTCAATTTAAAACAATCTGGCACCCCCTTTTCCAAATAGTCTTCTAGAAGTTCCTTATTTCTTAAATATATGTAATTATTGTGTTGATGAAATATTTATGTTTTATGTAATCATTACTGATTTAAATAATATGATTTGATGTGTGGAATCCACAAATGAAGGACTGTTATGAGCTCTGATATGGTCAATTAGGCATTGTTGAAATGTTGGCAATGCCATGAAGACTTAAGGAAAAGACCAAATATTTCAAAGACCTAGAATTAAAAACTTCACTGCTGTCCTATACACCAGCAAGTACAATATTAAATTGAAAAAAGTAAAAATATTGTAACCAAAAAATATTTATAAAAATGAAAGCGCGTATTAAATGAAGTGTTAAATATGTTTGACATAATTTTATTATTACCCAAAAGAAATTAATTGAGAGAAACTGTTAAAATTATTCTGCAATTTTCTATGTAAATAATGTTAGTGCTCCCTGGTCAATCTAGCCTCACTGAAAGCTCTAGCCAGTGTCCTCGGCAGCTCACCATTAATTACTTTACAGTTTGCAGAGCAATGAAATCAATTTTGCACAATTAATTAGCAATTAAACCATTTGACAGTACGGCATATTGGTCTTGTGGTAACTGATTGTGGTGTGTCAGCTTAATCTTAAGAAATCTCGATCATTAATTAGGCAAACTTTGAAGAGTAAAAAATTATATTTTGCATAATTAATTATCAATTAAATAGTTTTAATGGTGGCATATTTGTTTTTGTGTTAACCAATTATGATGGAGCCACCTTAATCTAAAGCTGGCTTACAATTAAATACTCAAGTTTGAAGTAAATTAATTTTTGCGTAATTAATTATTGAATTTTGATAGTGTGAACCTATGAGTGGTAATGCACTGACAATGTTTGACCAAACAGTAATAAGGTAAAAAAAAAAAAAAACTTGTGGAACGTGGGAGTTAAGAAGAAGAAGAAGAAGAAGAAGAAGAACGCATTTAAAGCAAATCACACTCAATAGAAGATTACTTAGAATATAAAATATGTAAAGCACAAACACAAATTGAACAACAAAAATTAAAAAAGGTGACGAAATAATAATGAAGTCTTTTTGTAAAAACAATAGCATTTCCCCAAAGGTTTGAGTTCAAATTCATAAAAATGTTTAGAGCTGACACAGGAGGTAAAATCTATATCCATCTGATTCCTTTGTGGGCATAGGTATATTAAATCTAACTATGGAAAAAGGATGACATGACAGGCTCCTGATTGAAAAACAAAATAGTCAGTAGAAGAACTTGAAGTGGTACAAGTAAAACAAGAAAACAGGTGCCTGAGTAGAAGGGATTACAATGGATCTTCTAAAATATGAGGTGGCTTAGAGACATCAACTGATGTTTCTGCAATGCTTCTGACCAGGAGGTCCGAGTTTGAATCCCAACGGTGCCAGGTTTTTCAACATTAGAAAGATAGCAACATTAGATGGCAAATGCTGGAGCAGCACAAACCAACCAGAGATCACACGATCTTTCCTTCCTTTTCCTTGTTCTATCCTAACCCTGTACTTGCACACACTTACACTTACATGCACTTACTACTACACATGCAAGGAGCCCAGTTGGGAGCTTAGACCTAGCCCTGCCTGGAGCAGTGTCCACCAGTGACAGATGTCTGGTTGCAGAAAACCCCATTAGCCGGTGGTTGGTCAGCGCAAGATATCACAATCCAGAAGGGAAAAATCACTGCCACATTCCAAGGGGATATGCATGCACTACACTTACGAGACTAATGACCTTGTTGGTTGACATGTCTGGAATCAATCAATAAGGGGAAGAACTTTAAGGAATACAGAGATGGCAAAATTATTATTGTAAATATTTTTTCATTGACTTCCCAGAATGTCTTGGGAAGCACCTGAAAAAGGTAATGGTTTGAAGTGTAATGCCTGTTACTGGTACTGTAAATGTATACCCCATTTTAAAGGTATAATGAGGCACGAACAATACATACAGAACGTAAAGAACCAATGATCCCCTCAAACAAAGGAATGGTTTAGAAAAAGACAATGCAAATTCACACATGACTGTGCTCCATGCTGCAATAGGAAGGGAAGTTGGAAAATATAAGACCTTTGTTCATTCTGTGCTTTAATCGGCTGCAAGTAATCTAGTCACGAATTCCAAAGAAAATTTTCGATATGTTGTAGTTAAAAGAAAATGAGGAAAAGCGTAGAGTTAGATTTATTTTTGTCAAAAAATCCAGTAAAAACTGTATTTTACATATGGGGAAGGAGAATCATTTTAACTATAAACAGATGAAAGATGAGTAAAAGTTTAAAATAAATAAATAAAAATACATTTTTAAAAAACGTGAGGTTAGCAATATTTGAAAAAAATATACATTTTTGTTCCTGAGATATAGAAAACTTATTTGCATGGGTAAACGTATTTGCAAGTATGATTTTTCTGCATTGCTTACAAAATAGTACTGGAAGTACTGGAAGGAATTCAATCAGTTAGTGGAAGATTTCTTGCTGGAAGAAAATGTCCAGAGCAAACTTTGAAAGTAAGGATCTAATAAATAATGTTGAAAGCAGAAGAAGAAAAAAAGAAAAGAAAAAAAAGAAAAAAAAAAAAAGAGGTGGCATAACAAGGAAAAGAAATGAGCCAAGTGAAAATATTTATTGTCTGAACAAAGAGTGTAAAGGAAAGAAAAGGGTGTAGAAAACTTAACTTTAAAGAAAAGAGGTTAATTTTGAAAACAAATAATTTAATTACAAAGTAATCAATCCCAATAATTTTGATGTCACATGAACTAACTCATCTGTTTCAGGTACGTTACATGTTGGGTTTCTCTTCAAAATGTACATAAAAATTGAAATATTTAAGTAATGTTACAAAATCCTAAATAACTACTGGGGCAACAGTCACTCATGTTTTCTTGAGTGACAGTGACATAGTATTATAATAGAAAGAGAAAAAATATTTTGTACCAACCTAATTTGAACTTGAGACCTTCAGTTCTGGATAACAGTACTTTAAGCAATGTGCTATTTAACACTTCAACCAAATTTCACTTACAATATTCTCAATTGGTTCTGAGACCTTAGGGAATTCTCTTAAAATTCACAAAAATTACTGTTCAAATAAACAGTTCATCATGTGATTTTAAAATATAAAATTGAGAATAGATTTCATTAAGAATAACTAGAAAGTATCAGCATATCCTACTAATAACTGTGCCCTAGTATAAAATTGCTTCTGAGGAATTTCAATAATATCTTAAATAGGAAATATATAAGTTTTTGTATTTTAAATAAATTTGTAGTTTAAAAATAAACGATATTGATTGTTAATTGTACATTCTCTGGTTTTTCAGATAATTATTTATTCACTCATTTAAAAGTACACAAGGTTTTGCAAACTGTTGTACTGGTTTTATTGAGTTCTAACCTACAAAACATTGTTTCATAACCTTTTAAAGACCAAATAAATAAGTATCTGGAATCTGGAAATCTGATTCTTTATACTTCTTTATACTCTTTCACAGAATATAGAAATCATATTGTTTGTTTGTGCTTCTAAAATAATAAATGTTTATTTTACAGGCTACATATCTTTCCAGAAGGAAAGCATCACATACATATGAAGTACTGGAAGGAATTCAATCAGTTAGTGGAAGATTTCTTGCTGGAAGAAAATGTCCAGAGCAAACTTTGAAAGTAAGGATCTAATAAATAATGTTGAAAGCAGAAGCTGAAGGAAAACAGTGTTACTAGTTTCCAGAAACGTATATATACAGTAAAAAAATATACTAATAATTGTATTTGATATGAATAAATATTTTTATGCCTACAATCTGTATTGCAGATTGGACGGTGGAGGTAGAGTTAGTAGATTTTAGCCATTACTGAAACAAAAAAGGTTTTTTAAGTTATATATGATCTCTATAAATGTTCATGAGACTATAAGGCTGGGATGGATGGAAATTGAGAGTGATGAATTTTTGAAATTATATCTTTACCAGAAGTTACTGAGAAATAAACTGTTGTAGTATTTGTGATACTTTTTAACTAAAATGAGATTATAATATATTTAGTAATACAGTGAATCTGAAATAAATATAGTTTTAAACTTCTGATTATGTAATACTTTTATTTATTATTCCTAAGTCAAAAACCGAGTCATAATTATTTCAGATAATGTGTAATTCAATGTTATTCTAGATGCAGCAAAAGTGTGATTATTACAAAAAATTATTTGCCAATGTTATGTTTATAATATATATCTAATCTAGGCATTATGCGAGACACACTAGGTACAAGAGTATATAAAAAAATCACAAGATCAAATTTCAGATCTGATTGTTCAATTCGGTGGCCATGTAATTTAATTTATTCAGGTTCTGGATTTTCATAATCTTTTCTGAAAAGAAGAAAAATTCTCAGTAAATTTATTTTTTTAATGCCTACAATTTGTAAAATTGGCAAAATAATTCAGCAATGCTGTTGGGTTACAATAATTTGCAATTTATAATTACAAATTATACTGGAGTACTGACAAAAGACATGGCAACCACCATCCTATAATAACGCAGCTAAAGCAAAAAATGGTGAAATGTATAATTGAGCACTTTTGCTAATATTTGCTAGCTAAAAGTAAACATCTGAATGCCATTAAATTTTTCATTTAGATAGTAAATTAAATGTGCTCATTAATTCCATAAAAACTTGTTGATTATCACTGTTAATAGCACACATGCAATTAAAACTCCACAACTACCAATCAGAAAAGATAAAAATCTTGTAATTAATTTACCATGAACATAAAAATGGACACCACAGATTTTGTAGAGCATCAACCTTGAAACACTTATGAATAAATACTTCTTTATCATTTAAAGACATAATATTATAAGTGCAATTACTTTATTTGGAGAGTGTTAGCCCATTTATTCTTAGCTGTTATAATGTAAAATATCAGAATTTTCTTTTAGCATGTATAAATATGGCCTCAAAGTGCATTGATTTGACCCTATCTGACTAATGGAACAAAATATTTATGAATGAAGAAATGTTTACCAGTAAAACATATTTATTATAATCATATTACAAAAATGAAAAAATACGAAAGTCAATTGTTTTAGTCATTCCGAAAAGGATTTGAGTACCTAGTAGAAAAATTCTGCATCCGAAGCAACTTGCTTTTCCATATTCCAAGATTCGTATATATTATATTATCTCTCATATGTGCCTTCATATTTTCTAGGAGGTAATATTGGCATGTTTTCTTATCTTCGCCTTATGCATGATCTGGCGTAAGTTCAATATTCACACAAAAAAGTTCTCTGTGTACTTAATTAGTAAGTTTCTCTTGTTTTCCCACATCATTACAATTCGAAACTTTACCTTATTCAGAGCAAATGTGATGTCACTGAATGTGTGTCTCAAATGGTAAAGATCCATGTCTAATTGAATATAACATGTGGATTAAGGAGTATAATTGCACTTAAGGTAAATAAAATTAATTCCTACCATCACTTGTTTTCTTGAATGTGCTACAATTGCATCGATACCCTCCTTTAACCACTAGTTTTCTTATTGCTATAATTTTATGAACATAATCTCTTTTTTTAACTTTGCAACATTTTAATTTTATGGATTAATGTATTTTGAGTAAAATTGTAATCTTTATAGACTAGAGAAAACCACAAACTTAAGTAAATTCAGTACTTTGTTTCAAATTTTGTATTCCTTCATTTGCAGTACATAATACCCCCACACAATTGTGTACTTATTTTTTGGGATATACAAGGTCTTGGAATTCACTTTTCAGTCATTTTAGTCCCCAATTCATTGAATTGAGTTGAGTTACTTGTTAATATTAATAGATGGAAACAGTGTTCTAGGTCAACAAGTATTGTGGATTAAGAGGAAATACTTTAATCACGCAATGTAAATAAAATTATATTTTTAAGTTGTTTATTACAGTAATTAGATGTTTACTTTCCCATACACATATGTATATACGGAGTAATATACATAGTATAGGGAAAGTTATGTAATCCTGCGGAAAATAGATTTCGATATTCTGATGGAAATACACGTTTTGGGGTCCCCTGATACCGAAAAAGTGGTCCTTTTCAAAACACATGTTTGTCTCTGAACACTACTAGCGCCTAAATCATATGTAGGATTTTTCCAATTTAAGAAATTCCTGTCCATCTAGCTTGAGTCAAAACTTTGAGATTTTGAAAACATTCTTTAAAATTTGGGGTACTTTACATGAAGTCCCCAGGTCATCTTCAAAATATTCTTAAAAACTGCTCCAAATTTTTTCTTTAAATTTCTTGTAAAAATAGAGTAAATATAAACATGGCATAGATCTGATTTTCACGGTTAACTCTGGATTTTCGAAAAACTGCAAAAGTATGAATGAATGTTTTTCTATGTCTTCCTGTAACAAAATTAAATTAGGAGATTTTTCCTTCAAATATAATTTGTTCTCCATAGTGAGTTCCTTCATTAAGGTCATGTACCTTTTTCTGAACATTTTAGTAGTTTTTGCCCAATATTGCAGGCAATATGTCAATTTTAAAAATTTAAAAACAAGATATTTTTCAAAAACTGTTGTTTTTTTCCCTCCCTCTTTCATCATCAACTTTTGGTGGGGATGGTGCTAAATGCACTCTATAAGATGACATAATGGTCACAATGCGATATTCTTTTATTTTTTCAAAAATTACAAATATGTAATTTTTTTGACTTGTCTCTCATGTTGGTGATTATTTGTTCACATTATTGTATTTATGACAGTTTTCTTTGAAAACTAGCTCAAAAACCACAACAGTTTTCAGAAACGCTCAAACGTAATTTTCACAAAATGGCCCCAAATTTTATCTTCAAACTTTTCTACAGGGTAGTGCTCATTGAACTCTTCCATACGAGTTAAAGTTTATTTCAGTCTTTTCAAAATTCAATATTACACAAATGTAATATTTTTGAACTGTGTCTCACGCCGTTGATATACACATTGCCAGCAATTTGTGAACACTATTGTATTTGTGAGTTTAAGTACTTAAAATGACTTCAAATGAAGTTTTTTCGAAATTTTAAAAATTGTCTGTTAACTTAAAATTTCGAATTTACCTTAGCGCTTAAACGCCAGTTTTTTTAAAACGGCTACAAATTTTTCAAAGAAAATTACTATTTAGAACGAAGATTTTTACTGTTCTTTAATAATCTTAAAAATTATATTTTCGCTTAACAATTAGGAAATCGAAAGATTAAGGAAACGTCAAAAAATATTACTTCGGGCAGCGATAAATGGAACCAAAGGAAATAGAAAACGAATACAGGAAAGTCTGTGCCATTATGTAGCACCACTAGTCTCGCATACTACATATGCAGTAAAGGGAAAGCATAGTGCTGCGGCAGCGGAATGTTTTTTAACAGATAAGCTCATGGATCCGTTATCGAAAACGCGTATAACTTTCATTTCTGAGTGAAGTAAATTACTTTCTCTGACACGGGTAGTCAGAAACCACGTTTTGTGGGACCGAAATGTAATGCTACAACAGCATGCATGCTACTTTATCGCATTTGTAAATTTTGCAATTTTCGAAAAGTTAGAGATTTCAACGAAATTAAGACCCGCCTATTTTTTTTTAGTTCTTTATGCTACCCAATGGCAAAGCTTTATGTAAAGTATACTCAAAATCAAAGGCCCATTTCAAACTCGCTGGGCGTCGAGTTAGTGTAGATAGAACTAGGAATATTAATTTTGGAGAATATACAACGGTATAGGCAGGGTCTGATCCAGCCGGTTATTTTAGAGGGATACATATTACTTTTTTAAAATAATTACACAATTTTAGCAAATATTTAAATCAATTTTGCCAAATAAAGGACGATAACAAACGAAAACTCCAAGTCTCCAGACCCCCCCCCCCCTTCCCGACGAATTTTCGGGAGAAAAACTAATTATCGGGTCCTGGTAACGCAAAAGTGGATAAATATTGTTCCTGTATATACTAAATTACTACCACTAACAAGATCTGTAGTATATTAACCTTTTACAAGAAGCTATGTTTTGTGAGTACTTGCTACCTAAAAATACCCAAATACCCGGATTGACAGCAAAACGTCCGTCCGTCCGTCCGTCCGTCCCCGTACGTGTCTGTCTGCGCTCAACGCGAGCGCCAAAAGCTTTCATAATAAGTATTCCTGTATTTAAACGAAATAGTCTCTTTGACATACCAGGTGAATGCCGGAGCAGTACCCGAGGAAACGCGCCTTGGATCACGCGCAAACTTTCCCTCCCATTCCTTGTCTTATCCTACCCCTTTTACTCACCCACTCACACTTCCATGCGCTACACTACCACACATGCCGGGTGGCCGTTCGAGAGCTTTGAGGTGAGGGGGTGGAGCCCCGCTAACGGGAGGTACCTGGTTGGGGAAAACCCCGCTAGTCGACGGTTGATCGGCGCCAGACCTGCCATCAAGCTGGGCAACATCACCGCCGTCTCTCGAGCAAAAAACATGCGCTACACTTACGGAACTAATGACCTTAGCAGTTGACGCATCCGGAATCACTAGTAATCAATCCACTGAGTCACTTTGAGTTTAAACAAATATTATGATATTGGGAATACTTCACATGAAATCTAAATTGCATTTTTAATTTTCTCATCAATGGCTCCAATTTTTTTATTAAACTTTGTACGCAGATTCTGTAAAGAACGATTAAAGGAATGGTGCAGGTCTCATTTTCGTTGAAATATCTTGATTTTTTCGAAAATGCAAAAGATCAATTTTTTCCGCGTCTTCCTACAACTAGTTAAAAATCAGATCTTGAAATGATGTTATGTACAATTTTTCGAAAATATAAGTAGTTTTCGCGTAATTTTGCATAAAATGTAGGCAATTTTTAAACTATTTTCCCCACAACAGCTCTAATTTTAACTGTCTTGCTCATTCGTCATCAGAGAAAGTATTGTAATCATGCAGCAGAAAATGGAGAATTTTTTACAAAAAACTTATTGCCCGACCCTAGCAATGAAAAAGTGGATAAATCTTGTTACACAGTAAATTAATTCCTCTAGCACGATCTACACGGTGGAAGCCAAGTGGCTCTATCTTACAGCGTCGCGGAGAGCAAACAGGACGATGAGGGGCCAGTGATGAAGCACAGTGATGTGCGGCCAAAGCATAAATGCAGTGAGAGAGCATTAGGGTCCCTTCCGACGTGGACGGACACGGCGAAAAGCTTCCGATAAGCGGCAAGGTACTTCTCACGAGGCCGCCGCCATGAAAAGGGGTAGGTTTCGCCGACCCTTCAGCGACTAAGTTTCTGTTCATATTACCTCATCTCACCCACTTGTAAAACTCATTATTGATCGTAGCTCATGGGTGGCGAGAACTAATTCTTGTAACGCCAATTCATCAACACAAATTCGTTAATCGAAAAATTCCGTTCCACTATATAGGTCTCCTAAAGAGGAGACTCAAGAACCAAGATCACTGATCATAATGTACTAAGTGTCCTAAAGAGAAGGCGCAGGGACCAAGATATGGTCCCCAATACAAGTTCCTCGTATAGGAGACTCAAGAATCGAGATTACTGTTCCCGATGTAAGCCCTGAAAGAGGAGGCCCAGGGAAAAATACTAATTTCTCCAATGTAAGACTCCTTAAGGAGGTGACACAAAACGACATCATCGTTCTTAATGTAAGTTCGCTAAGAAGGAAGACGGAGCGAAGTGGTTCAGGGTGTAGCGCGCTGACTTCGAATTCGGGAGGCCCGGGTTAAATGCCCGTGCCGGCCATCCTGACGAGTTTTCGTGGTTTTCCGGGCGAATGCTGTGCTGATTCCACTAAAAGGCCACGATCGCGAATCCGGTGTCGCTAGCTGAATTTAACTACGCGGAGTCACAAAGGTTAAGAGAATTCGAGATATCGCGGGTTCCCGGTTGGGGGACCGACTAAGAATCGTCGGATCTAACGGCGCCGAGGACAATTGCCCTTTACGGGATATAATGGTTAAATGCACATATAAATCCCCTAAGGAAGGTATCGGTCTTGCTTCAGCTCTGGCGGAAAACTAGAAACATCCACCCAGTCTCCCCAGTTTGTCGGTTGTGCTCACGTTGTTGGCGTCAAGGCGAGGCTTCCGTGGGCCCTGTGACTGAGGGGAAAGTCACTAGGCATTGGTTCCGACCCCGGAAGGAGTAATGTATCTTCCTCTCGACTAGTCTTAGTGATGGCAACCACTTGCTGAGACGCCACCCTTGCTGGGTCTGGGAGTTGGAAGCGCGAAATGGGGTTACTTCCTGACATTACTCGCGGCGCCAGTACAAATAGAAAATGCGCCCGGGGGAGGGCTAATAATAGGGAAGGGACTACAGAACACGCTGGGACCGGTAAACGCGGCGTGGCATTAAGTAACCTGAATGAGGAGATGGTTTTCCAACGTCAACCCGACTGTATTATAAGAAATAGAAACGAAATGTGTTTTTCGCCGATGGCCTCGTCGGAAATGTCGGAATGATTGCCCCCCTTTCGTCATCTAGCCGCATCAATGAGCGTATGTTTTCAGCCAGAGGTGTCGACGTCGGCGCGCTGCACCGGGATGTAGGTAATGTAGGACGGGGCTCTGGGCTGCAGGCAGATCGATAGAGCCCGGCGCGCGCAGGCGACGTTGCAACGGCCGCCGCTGCGGAGGGGACACCGCCTGTGAAACTTAAGGCGGCTCCACACATTCGGCGAGTAGCCAGCTACTACTACTACTACTACTACTACTACTACTACTACTACTAC